TAACTTAGCGTTGAATTAGCGCCGAGTGCATCTGGTTTGAATCCCGTACGGAACAAGTATTTGTACTATACAAATAATAATTGTTTTCAGACTGGATGTTGTCCTTGTGCAGCTTATATACGAAAGCTCTTTGTTCTTTTTTTAAAGAATCTTTAAAGATTTCTAATATTTACGCGAACACTACGCATTGAATAAAATTATTTCTACTGATTTTATCGCGTTAAAAAACTTTTTTTCACTTTTTTATATTATATTGTTGTTTGTTTTTTTACTAATATAAAAAAAAAAAAAAACCACCCTCCCAAAAAACCCCCCCTTAAATCATCCCCCCAACACCCCCCCGGCGCCCCGCCAAATAAAAAAAAAAAAAAAAAAAAATATTTTTTTATTTTTTTTTTTTTATTATTAAATAAAAAAAAAAAAAAAAAAAAAAACCCACCGCACCCACCCCCCCCCCCCAAAAAAAAAAAAAAAAATAAAAAATTTTTTTTTTTTTTTTTTTTTGTGACACCCCAACCACACAACCAAAAAAAAACAAAAAAAAACACCCCCCCCACCACACACACCAACACCCCCCCCCCCCCCCCCCCCCTCACCCCCTAACTAACCTATTTTTAATACTCGACGTTTCGGATGCTTTATAACACCCATGGTCATGGGGTAGGACTGAGACATTATCCTACATCTGAGTCGTCGTCCCCTCTCCCCCCGTGACCATGGTTATACATGTAAATAGTTTTATTCAAAAATCTTAAATTAAAAAAAATTGTTTAAAAAATGAGAACAGTTATTCTTATTCTTAATGAATTCAAATTTGTCTTTCCGACAAATCAACGGTCAGAGTGTGTATGCTTTTGATAAAGATGGTCAACAGCATACATACTTTGACAGTTGACTCATGCCATTGGTGTCGTTTAAAATTTAAAATTCAATGACTTACGTGACTTATCTCTTGACATTAAATTTTGCAAAAAGTATAATATTTAACCATTTTTTTCTGCGGGCTCCCAAGAGACAGAACTTTTTTCTTTATGAAGTTTATTGAACTTTTTTTTTTATATTATTATATAAAAATCTCGTATAAAAGTACACTTCCAGACAGGTGTTGATATCAAATTTTCAGGGGGGGGGGCGGGGCACTAGATTTTGTAAGGAAACCTTGTCTCTTTTTAGCTACATCCGTAATAGCTAACAGTTATCAGTTATTGGGTGCGTTTGGCAGAAAAAAGCGCTAGCAAGCGCTTGTAAGCAAAATGGCGATCGTAAGCGGTAAGCGCTGTCAAATCGTAAGTAGCTATTTTCCTCCAGGACACGATGTTAGTTTTAACCGGGGAACCTAACCTAATTTAAATATATGTTTGTAAAGTATTCATATTAAAAACTTACCAATCATGAATTTTTTATAGCATGTATATGTTTATTCACGTCATTATATTACTTAAAACTAATATTGCACAAAACAACTTATAAACTCTATTTCAAAACAAACAAATTAAATAAGCAAAATGGCGGATTCTGTCAGCGCTACTGAAGTAGTAATCGTGTCCTGGCCGAAAACTATTTCAGCGCTTGTAAGCGCTTGCTAGCGCTTTTTTCTGCCAAACGCACCCATTAGTAAGCAATAATGCAATGCTGTGACTTAACGGAGGGACATTTAAACTGCAGCAACGTTAAGTCTTTTATACTGTTCGAAATTAATATGCATTTTTAATGCTATGAATATATGAAAAACTGAATCACAATCTTTAAGAAATTTGTATATTCTTGTAGCAAATCAAGTCATTTAAATAAAATGTTACGATTAAACAAGTTATAAAGTGCTTATGAAGAATGTTACGAAGAGACCCTACTCAACTTTTAAATCAATCGAAATGTTCTTAATATGCAATTCGCAGTACAGGGAAAGAATTAAATACAAATAGGAAAATATAAAATTTTGATTTTATTATGACCCAATCAATGTATTCGAAGTCGGTTAAATGCGCATTATTAATCGTAACTGAAAAAAATTCTGATCAGATCTTGATTAAATTTTTATGGGACCATGTGAGATCCATCAGCATAAGAATCATCAAAATCGATTCACCCAGAGAAAAGTTATGAGGTAACACACAAAAAAATACAGTCGAACTGAATACCTTCTGTTTTTCGAAGTCGGTAAAAATATGAATTAAATACCTTACTCTCCAGACTACTGAGAAACAAGGTTATGTTTTTCAGTTATGTGTTTAGGTGCTTATCTGACCTGTAGTCTAAATGATCCAGCGGATATTTAACTACACTGTATGTTACCATAGAATAGGATAGGCGACAGTTAATCACTACTACAAATCCGATTCGCTGTGTTGACAGACGGATTTTAATACGTATTTATTTGTAAATAGTTTGCAATTTGGCGTTTTCTAAATAATTTGCATGCAAAATTTGGAATCTATTGTAACATCAAAACAAATCTCGTGTTGATATTTATACGTGTGAATTGACGTGTTTGTGGCATTTTAGTGGCGACACGGGCTCCGCCCACTGGTATGTACAATGTATTTGCTTATTATTATTTTTAGTTGCAACTTTTCTGTTCAAGTAAGTGACAAATTATGATGACATTATAAATAGTCTACATTACTTTACATATACTCACGCAATAATGACGTTGATTGAGATATCCATTGAAAAAAAAATGGACGGAAAAGGAACGGTCAACAAGATATTACTTTCTTTTTACATAGGCTCAGTCGCAATTGCGTACAATGTTTTTTTTATAGCATTGGGTGACAAACGAGCACACAGTCCACCTGATGGTAAGTGGATGTTGTGACCCATAGACATCCACATTTATCCTCAATCTCTAAGAATCAAAATGCAAATGCGTTGTTATTACCCCTGAGGACTAAGATAGAATGCCTCGATTGACGTAAAAAGGGTCTCCGGATCTCTACACTCACCATACGAAACACAGCAGCATTACACTGCTAGTTTACGCTGGTATTCTGTGAGAGCGTGGTCCTGCCCCGGTCGAGCCGACCCATTCATGCTAAAACTATAATATAGCTGCAGCGTGGCTGTACCACGTAAAAAAATGTTATGTAAATTGTTCTCTATTGCGCGCGTTGATTATTTTTTGTACTATCCGTGCGGTTAAAGAATGAGATCCAAAATGGCGTCGCCTCTTCATCTCTCGCTCGTACACTGTCGCTATCTATACTCACACCTGCTGGTGCAGACTACATAAAAAATACGTTGCGATATGCGTTTTTCGTACGTCCTATCTTCAATCCGACTTGTCATTTTATCAAATTCTATCCGAAAAATTTAGAGATTTTTTTAAAATAGAAATATTGATAAAATTTTTATCTAAATGACGCCATATAAATAGATCCCACCTAGGAGGTAGTCGCTAGTTATAAATGTCTTTTTTTTTTTAATTAAAGTACCTACATGCGTTTACAATTCTATTAAAATATTTTTCCATCAATAGAAATTTTGCAATTAACCGAATATTATAATGAGATACCGTTATTAGTGGGTTTTTCCTATTGGTACTGTACATGTTGATGGGGTACGGGTTCGATGAGCCGTCATTTCTGATCACATTCTTTATCCGTACGGACTGTTAAAGGGAAAATTTCTAAATGGTATCAAAATGACAGATTACCTAATAACATTACATTTTTATTCTTAAAATATACACTATAATTATTAGGTACTTTATCTAGTACTCCAATTAATTTCAAGTAAGCTATATCTCACTTTATACAAGCAGCAAATGTTTTTGTTATGTTGAGCTCGAAAATTTCAATCAAAGGTTGTCTATTGGATTACTAATACTTATTATGTATTATTTCTTTCACTTTGAGTAATTTCTCGTCTATCTCTCGTCATCAATCAATACATGAAAATGTATTTTCCAGAATCTTTAGGCAACTTCATTGCTATATTAAGTGGGATGCCTTTTTTCCTTTTGCCTGCTTTATTGGCCTAGTGGTTGTAAGCTGGACTGCTTATCATCTGATCCCAGGTCGGGTTAAATATGGTTTTTAGGTTTTTTGTCAAGAAAATCTTAGTAGCAGCCCAAAATCTGGAAGTTGAGGGGTACTTCACCTACATTCCTCGGAAGTCTTGCGCCTGATTTCTCTCCGGTCGTGTTGAGAGTAAGGGAATAGAGAGTGTACCTGTCTTTTCTGCACACATGCACTATAATCTTGTCCTCTTGATGGCTCGTCTCCGTTGAGATTATTCGCTATGACGGAAATTTATCTACAATACATTCAGTGGCGGAATTCTCATTTCAGTATCAGAATTTTTAGAAATGAATGTTAGTGTTATAGGTGCTGGTTTCCTCAACTCCACGACTAAGCGCATATTTCGCGTATGCGCAGGAATCGATTTTTCTGTCAGATTAATGTCGCCAAAGATCTCGTGGAGCGACCTCGGTGCACCGAGGTACTTAGACCTCAGTGCACTCCAGTAGGATGTGAGTGGCCTCCATGCAGACTCTGCACAGAGGGATGCTTCGTGACACCTATAGCAAAAATATGTTTTGATTAAAACTTTTACGGATTTTATCGCGTTTTATTTATTTTATTTTTAATACTCCACCAAGCACCCGAAACGTCGGGTATTAAAAATAAATAAAATGCGATAAAATCCGTAAAAGTAGTTTTAATCAATGTATAGTGTTCGCGTAAATATAAGAAATTATTAAAAATATGTTTACTAAACGATCCGTGCCCAGCTTGAGCGCCAGTAATAGTCCAAATGTGAGATTTGTTTAAAGGAAGCAGTATTTTGGAAATGCGGCTTTTGAGACGTGAAATGTTTCTTTTGTATTTACGGCACATGTTGAGGTTTTTCGCGTATTAAGGCGAACCTCCTGACCTTGAATTACCACGGTAAAGGTATTTTGGTGCGATTGAATGACGAGCGTTAATAAATAATTCCTTTTTGTGTCTTTTTCAGCTGCTTGTAAATAGAGGCTGTAAATATAACTATAGAAAATAAAGATGAGTTTGGGAGCGCGCGCCACCAAGGGTGGTGCGAAGACGGGCGGCAAAGATGGCAAGCACGCACAGGACAAAGGCAAGAACACAGACAAGCCCCAGACTAAGGAGAAGGTCAAGTTACAGGTAAACGTCATTAATATAAATACTTTGGCATGTTGCCGTGTCTGCCTATGGAAAAATTTATATGGCTTCGGATGGTTTCGGTATAACCTTCTCGTTTCTGTCAAACTTGAAAAAGACTGGCAAGACAGGTTGCCAGTCTTTTTCGAAAGGTTCGAGACTTCTGAAACTGTGTTAGTCAATCTGCTTGCCTTTTTTATAGGATAGGATAACAAACAAGCACACAGTCCACCTGATGGTAAGTGGTTGCTGTGGCACATAGACATCTACATTCATATCAAAATGCAGATGCGTTGTCACACTTGATTATGAAGATGAAATGCATCATTTTCAGTTCAAAGGGCCTCAAGTTCTCATATTTTCTGGTTTCTGATGTTGTTAGTGCTGTTAGGCTTTTTGGTTTTTACAGCTTCATTGGACTTAGCTGACACTCACCATATGAAACAAAGTAGACTTTAGCTGCTATTTTATGCTGTTATTCAGTTGGAGCTACAACCGTTATATTACTGCCGCAGGCTCTACAATTCTCCATTCATCAATATTCATAATTTTATACAACTATTAGTTTATTGTAAAATTAATTTTACATAATTTATTTCAGGCAACCACAGAACAACTCCGAATGGCAAATATGATCGACCGCAAAAGTGACGACGCCACTGACGTCCGTAAAATGGTGAGATAATCGCATGCAATTATAGCATTTACAGAAATAAATTATGAGAAAGTTGGATAACAATAGGGATTAATTACCCATAGCAATTGACTATATTGTTGTGATATTTTAAGTTAGATCTATGCTTTTGTTTTGTTGGGTAGAACAATTGGTTTTGTTATTACATAGTTTAGGAGCTGTGGTAGCTCAGATGGTTAACACTTGTAAATTTTACAGTATGCAAGCAACCCAGATTCTATCCCTGCCACTCCAATGAAATTGCTAATTGCACTTTTAAGTGTTGGTTAACCACATTGCGGCAGTGAAGGAAAACATAGTGAAGAAACCTGTAAAAAAATATTTCAAAGGCATGTGAAGTTCGCCAATACATATTGGGGCAGCACAGTGACATCGGAAACCAAAAGAAGGCTTGTGCCCAGGAGTGGGGTGTATATAGGCTGTAAGTTTTCTATTCTTAAAACCGGAACACAGCAATGCACACATTGCTGCTTGGTGAATAGGCTAGATGCGAGGGTATCCTACCTGGATGGACTGCCACCTAGTGGACCATTAATCTTATAGATTTCCTTGGCCTAAAACCCTCTCAGTAATGAGGGAGGCCTGAGCCCGGCAGTGGGATGTATATAAGCTGTAACTTTTTTTTACATTTACCCAGATGGTTAGGCAGAGACTATGGACTTCTATTTGACACAATCCTGATGCACCACTCTCGTCTCCTTTACAATTATACCTTTATTTATTTATTGAAATAATACTAGTTTTTACGGAGTTAAACGCGTATATTTAACTTTTTAAATACCCGACGTTTCGAACGCTTTACAGCACTCATGGTCACGGGCGGGACTGAGATGTTCAACGTCCATATGTCATAGTTAACCGCGGTTACCATGAATTAAAATTTAACTTTTGTTCCGATCTATGCAGTATGAACTTATGGTATCTTGAAGTCTTGCAGTTGTATGCTTGGGTTGGGATTTAATTTTATTTATTATAGGATCCCAAGCAGATGGTAGCACCCAGCCATCTTCTCTATTAAAATTAGGATGTTTTTTGATTTCAATAGCCTCGCGAATCATCCTTGGAAGGAATCGGTGTTCTTTAGTGAAGATTTTCGGTCTATCAAATCTGATGTAGTGACGGGGGCGATCCTGTACGTGTTCACAGACTGCAGACTTCCCGGAGCGTCGTTTATTTATTTAATTATCAGCCTAAGTACAGGCATCATGCATGCTGACATGTTTATGTGTGTGTTAGAAAATCTTCACTTAAAAAGTTCACCTTTGTAACAATAATCTTATTAAGCGAGAAGTCCAGCTTGTTTTTAAAAGAAAAAATTTAAAAAAAAAGGGGGAAAGAAAACACCCACCACCTATAAAAAAAAAAAAAAAAAAACACCCCCCCCCCCACCAAAAGCACCAAAACACACGCAAAAAAAAAAAAAAAAAAAAAAAAAAAATAAGAAATAAGGTGACAGAGAGAACATCTACAACTGGTTGAGATAAGTTTGCACCTCCCTGCAATGTGAGACTCCGTTTCTTCGCTCTCAACCCCCCATTTATACAGTCGCGTCAGTACAGTTTGCATCTTTGTTACCGGTACACACATCTTAATTTTCGTCTCGTGTTTATTTAGGTTTATTGATTAGTTATGTTCTTATGTCATTCGCACCAAGTGCAAAATTAACTCAACTGAGTTGTAGTAATCTAATCTAGTATTAAATTGGTGCTCCAGTTGTATTATTGTTGCAACTGCAATATTATTTATCTTAGTTCTATTTCAAAGCCCCAAAACACAATTTCAACAGTTCTGATCAACACTTACCTTAGTAGTTGGATCTGATCAATACTTACCTTTGTTATACTATGCTATTTAAGAGGTGCTGCTTCAATAGTTTGTCAGATTTTTTGTTTTTCAGAATCCATACTAATGAGAATGGAGGGGCGCGGGTTTGTCATTATGTTGGTTTTTTGTTCTTAGGATATATGAGTAGGGCTTTTTGAAATATTCAACTTCTTAAAAGCCTTTGTAAATTGCAATTTGATGAAAAAGATATTCACTTTGGCTTTGTTTACTCTTTCATAATCTATCTTGTTTTAATACGGTTTGGCGCCTTTTCTCAAGTTTGTTTTTATCCTGTAGCATCCCTGTGGTGCAAACAGACTAACGAGGGTCTTCCATTTTACCCCTATATTGCGCAGTGATTATGTCTACTGTCTACTCTCCACTGCAGAATGAAAAAAATAGCCATTCAGCGAGGAAATGCAGCCAGCGTTTTTGGCACACTTTACTAAAGGAAATAGACTATGATAATTTAGTTTTTAGTTTTATTTTTTTTTATTAGGACATTAAAAAGTAAAAAAAAGTCAATTTCAACTTTTTCCAAGTGGTTCAACTAATAAAAAGGATTTATAATTAGTTGGAACTACTGGGAATTCATTCTCACTAGTTCAAAAATTGAACTAATAGTTGATCAATTGAGAACCATGGGGTTTTAATCGGTGCAATTCCAACATAATCCATCCTTGCCCCTGCATACCCATTCCTTACACACGCATTTGTGTATGTTGTAGAAAAACGCACAGTAACACAACAACTAATTCCTCCACAATATTAGAAAATGACATTTTTATAGTAGCAGACTTAATTTCAAAACCTGCAACATATATATTTTTTTTACTGTTTAGTTTAAGAATATCCACTATCCTGTATCGTTCTGTGGATGTCGTAAGAGGCGGCAAAGGGAAACTAAACACGAGATGAGGTGCAATATTTTTCTTATAACAAAACTAAAAACTACAATAAAAGCTGCGGATGCTAACGCACTTGCCAAGCTTGGTGACTATGGCAAATATCCCCCTATGTGGCAATCTATGGAGAGACCTATATGTTCAACAGTAGAATTTTGATAGGTTGTAAAGATAATGTTAATGGTATTGTGTTACTGTAAGGTGACGCTACTGATGGAAATGACCCGTCGCACAGAGGAGGAGGTTTGCTCTGCTTTGCACGACTCCGACAACAACATGGAGGCCGCCTGCAACTTGTTGCTGGAGGAGAGTCAGCGGATACAGGTATGGCTGTAATATTTTTTTTTATAGAATAAATGTGACAAACTAGAATACAGTCCACCTGATGGTAAGTGGATGCTGTGGCCCATAGACATCTACATTTATCCTCGGTTAAGAATCAAAACATAGATGCGTTGTCAACCCTGAAGACTACGATGGAATGCCTCGTTTCCAGTAAAAAGAGGTCTCCAGATCACTACACTCACTTTACGAAACAGCAGTATCAGGGCTCTGTCACACGCTATAGGCCACGCGTTATATGCCTACCGCTCTGCGTATCGTCCACGACACAACCGACACTGGGCTGCCGCAAGCACCGACATAGCACCGCGCACGTTTCCCGCGCTTACTCGTTGAAATGCCAAAACCATGTAATTATTGTGCAGTGGATGGGTGTAAAAATCAAAAAAGAAATAAAAATTGTCTTTTTTGCGTTGACTCATGTATTAAAGTATTTATTATATAAGTGATGCAAAAAAACATAACTGCACTAGCTTCAATGCTTTGTTATAGGAGAACCCTAATGTTGACGAAACAACACTGTGTACTCATTTCAAAGCTTATAATAAAGATTCATCTTTTTATGGTGGGCTAAAATACCCACCAGAACCGTTTAATAATTATATTGAAGAATTAGAAAGATCATTCTCAAATAATTTTGAAAACATATTAATGAATCGGCCTGGCAGCACCGTGTTGCAAATTTTACAATCCATTGTTTTTCCTCTGCTTTGCTCCTGTTTCCCTCACGATTATTTATTAAAATTATTTACGCGCATAGGAAATTTCAAAGATAAAATTTCCGAGAATAAAATAACCGAGAATTCAGAGAAGGAAAAAAAAGTATAAATCATTTTATAAAACTCAAACATATTTGATTGACACATAAAAAATATTGTTAATATGTATGTATTTCGCAACATTCGTTTTATTACAATAATCGTCATAGGTACAACCCTAGCGCATTCGTGCGATGACACGCTTGCACATGAATCGCACGGCGGGCAACACAATCTCGCTCTTCATGCGTGTACTTACGGTACATTTTGTTCTCGCTGTGAGCAGCAGATACTATTATTAAGATTCTGTAGGCTATTATAGCGTAGGTATTTTCGCTTTTGTATGGGAGTGATGTATCTGTTGGTAAACTATTTATTAATCTGTGGCAGTATTAAGCTGCTATTTTACGCTGATATTCAGTGAGAGCGTTGTCTTTCCCTAGTCGAGCCAACCCATTCGTGCTATAACCATAATATAGCTGCAGTGGCTCTACCACTTATAAATTGAATGATTAAATAAAATTTAAATGATTATATAAAATTGAAGTGATTAACAAACTTACAGCCCTTATTATATTAACTTATAAACGCATTGCCCAAGGATGTGTTGTTACCTCTGAGGAGCAAGATGGAATGCCTCGCAGCCTATAATTATACTGGCTCTATAGTCTTAAAACCGAAATGCAGCAATGAATACAATTGCTTGGTGGCTAGCCTAGATACGAGGGTACCAACCTAGATTGACTACCACTTGGTAGGCCATTTATCTTATTATAGATTATCAACACAGTTATATGTATTATTATCATGCTCATCAGCCAAGCAGTGAGATTTTGTAACTCAATGCTGCAATTTTTTTTATTATGATAATCACCTAATACAAAATTTTATATTTTAAAAGGCACCAGCTTGTAATCATACTGATACGTTTACACAATACAACATGAAAATTCCCAAAAGATGGATTAGCTTCTTATATCCTATAGCACTATAATTAGGCTTGCGACAAAATGTAAAATTCAAAAGTTAAAGGTACAAGATGTCTGGTTCTTAATCCCTCCACCCATTGGGCATTAACACCTTAAGTGGTCTATATCAGCCACTATAAAAAACGTTGTAACTCTTATTTTTATTTCCAGGGCGAGTGGCAAACCAGTGAGAAAAAGAAGAAAAAACCACCCGCCTCGACTGGCAACGGGGAAGTGGAGCCACCTCGAGATGCTCGTGAGCGAGATGCTCGGAGCCGCTCCGGTCCACGCCCACGTGAGTACTACTAAGAATATAGTTTATTTATTACTTACCGCATATGTGGCAATTATATTTCTCTGGGTGTCTTAGGGTAATGGAAAATTTTCAGTGTTAACACAAAGAAACGGTTTAATTAATTTAAAACGGGTTAAATAATTGTATAACACAAACTATATATTCAATAAATATTTGTATAAAGCACTTAATATTACAATTTTTGTTTTCACGACACTTAATTACACTTTGACTAATATAACGCGTGTTCTCAAAACAGAATGTCTAAGAGTCATGATACATTCTCTTTTATAACATCCCACGTCATTTCAGTTGCGCGCGAAGAGGGTCGGACTGTATTGCTTGTAATAAAGTGAGGAATTTATTTTCCTCTTTGCCCTAGTCAAGATTACGGGAACGTAAAACGATTTTTTAAAAACTATTTAAAATCTATATTTCTTAATAAAATTATAATTATAACTACTTAATTAATACGTCTTGACAGAAGTCGATGTCAAAACGAAGTGGCCGCTCCCATGAGCTCTGTCTGATACCTCATGAAACCAAAAGCGCTGACTCTACAGTTACTGGATACTGTCTAATGCTTATGCAGCCACCTCTAAGTATGAACCGTAACGACCCTAGTCTTGTGGTTGCATAAATACCTTGTTATAAGCCCGTAAATAGTTCTTTGCTAGATAATGGCTTATCTTTTATGGAGGATTGCTATAATCGTTAAACTTGGCAGGTAGATTGGCGATCGGAGTACCTGGTGATTTTTGCCCTTGCGAATGTCACGAAATAAATATACGGTTATAATGCTTCATATGAAGAAAGCTATTTTATCTACTGGATACTTCTAAATCGTCTCTTATGACACACACCAAGTGATAGCCATAAGATGGGGTTATTCTGTTTAGGCCACCTTGATATTTTTGGACAATAAAATTTTTAGATGCTGATTTGAAACTGACTTGAAGTATCATAAATAAATGTATGGAAGTTGTACCCCATATAAATAATAAATGACGGATGTAGGGGAAGAAATTCAATTTACTATATTGTAATAAGTAAGGATAACTCTTTTGTGTTACATCTTGTCGATTGTGTGTGCATTTTTCTATTTTATTTATGTTTTTTTTTTAAATATAATTAACATGACCAACAATCACATAGGCCACCTGATGGTAAGTGAATGCTGTGGCCAATTTCGATTAAAAATCAAAATGCAGATGCGTTGACACCCCGGGGACTAAGATGGAATGCCTCGATTGCGGTAAAACAGGGGTCTGGTTCTCTACACTCACCATATGAAACACAGCAGCATAAATCTGCTATTTTTGTGAGAGCATGGTCCTTCCCCAGTCGAGCCGACCCTTTCGCCCTACAACCATAATATATATCCCATGGGTATTCCAAAAGGTCACAGGGAGAAATTGACACAGGAGATAGGAAGCCCTATCTTCCTGATAACACAAAGTAATACAATAATGCGGTTGCCAACCCACTTGCTTAGATTATGTAATTAAATAAAAACACTAATATATTAAGTTGTTATCAGGAAGATGGACATGTTATATAGCAATCTATGGCGGAACGTTTATAGTGGATGAAAAGCTACATATTATAGTTATAGGTGTGATGTTGCAGGTCGCGGCGAGAGCGAGGGCGGCCGCGGTCGTGGTGCAGGGCGCGGGCGTGGCGGAGGGCGCGGCGGGCGGCGGGGGCGGGGCGTGGCGGCCGGCGCGGAGGCGCGCGCTCCCGCCCGCCGCGCGACTCGCACTGGTCCGACGCCGCCGACACAGGTCGCTATATACTATATCATACTGATTGATACACACCACGCATACAAACCTATGCCGACAGCCTGTTCTTCTGTGGGCCACAGCATCCACTTACCATCAGGTGGACTGTGTGCTCGTTGGTCATCCTTATTGTATAAAAACACGTAATTTTAATATGAAATATCAAATTATACATACATAAAAACTCACGCCTGTCACCCAGAGGGGTAGGCAAAGACTACGGACTTCTATTTGGCACGATCCTGACATACCTCTCTCGCCTCCTTTACATCCATATACCTACGCATACATGCTCGTCGGATAAGAGTACTCCTAATTTGTCCCGTTTTCAATAAATCTTTAATTTGGTATCGCACAATTTCTCACACTGTCATTCAGATTCAAATTATACGTATTAAAAATATTTATCTCTCCTATGTTATATTTCGTTAGCACGGCGCTAGAGCGAAGCGACCGGTGTCGCGTTCGGTGTAAAGGCCGTGCGACATGAACTTGTCCCACATTCCCGGTTCACTCACTCGCACTTGACTGAGTGGCGCTTATTGGGACGCACATTTATGTTGCTATTTTTCATTATAATATCTTACTGTTACTGTTGTATCAACGCGTAGTATCTACCTAAAATAGATAGTGTGTTTTCTCTATGGCCTACAATCTATTAGAAATTGGTAATAATAAATACGCTCAAGGTCGCTCTGCGAGCTATGGAGAAGGCTATGCTCGGAGTTTCTCTGCGTGATAGACTCAGAAATGAGGATATCCGCAGTAAAACCAGAGTGACCGACATAGCCCAACGGATTAGTAAGCTGAAGTGGCAATGGGCCGGCTATATAGCTCGAAGAACCGATAACCGATGGGGAAGAAAGGTTCTCGAGTGGCAGCCTCGTACCGGTAGGCGTAGTGTAGGGCGATCTCCCACTACATGAAGTGACGACCTGGTAAGACATGCAGGAAGTCGATGGATGCAGGTGGCTCAGGACCATGCTTTGTGGCATTACTTGGAGGACGCCTGTGTTCAGCAGTGGACTTGTGAAGGGCTGTAATGATGATGATGATGATGAATAGTAAATATGGTTTCATTGAATGTTACAAAAAAAAATGGGCTGAAATATTTTTAATAATATAAAAAAATGTATAGTCATTTACAGTAATGGTATTTAACTATATTAAATTATGCAACTTGTTATATTAAATTAATTACAGGTGGTAACATGGGCGACTCATTTCCTACCACAGAAGACTGGGACAACGAAGAATGGTCTGGCTCTCTATCAGATACTAAGGTAAAAAAAAATCATATATGTATTTTTTTTACTATCATCATTAGTCAGTCACTAGTCTACCTATTCAGCTATCACGAAATAGCTCAGTGAGGCGCTCACGGTTGAACCTCATGACATGTGGATGTGCATCATCATGCTTGAACCATGTGCGGCGATATTCAGCCGTGTATGTATATCATATGTGCATATGTATAGCCTATGTAGTTATATCATATGTGCATATGGTGTAAAAATGCTGATGGTGCAAAGTAGATGGGTTTACTATTTATCTATCCTGTGGCACTACAGCCCTTTGTGGGCCCTGGCCTCCACAATATTCCTCCACTTGTCGCGATCCTTTGACTCCCTGCGCCAGTTGGTGTATTTACCCATTCTTCTCAGATCCTCTTCCACATTTTATACCCAACGTTTTTTTGGCCTGCCTTTTGGTCTCTTTTGCTGGGGAGTGCACCTGGTCATGATTTTCACGGCCCTAGAATCCGGCATTCGTTCCAGGTGGCCCGCCCATCTCAGCCGCTGTGACTTACAGAACCTGACGATGGTCTCACATCCTATAAGGGTCTACTATTATTAGCGTGGTAGAGCCAATATGCAGCTATATTATAGTTGTAGCACGAATGGGTTAGCTCGACTGGTCGAGCCGACACATCAATTCAAATACCAGACAAATTTTAGGACAAAATTCACAATAATGCAGTGCAACAATCAATTATATATCTATGTGGTAAAGGCATGCTGCAGCTATATTATGGTTGTAGCACAAATGTGTCGGTTCGACTGGGGTGGAATCACACTGTCAAGGTCGCAAGGTGACATTAACTGCATAGTGTGCTTTTCGTGCATTTTTTAGTCTCAAGTAAACGGTCATAACATAAGCACGTAGTTTCTTTTCCGAGTCACTAGCCATACAAATATAGACCCTAACGCTCTAAACACACACTCTCACAGAATGATAGCGTAAAATAGCAGCTTAATGCTGCTGTGTTTCTTGTGGTGAGTGTAGAGAACCAGAGATTTTTTTACTGGAAACGACGCATTCCATCTTATACCTCAGGGATGACAACACTAGTTAGTCGGGACCAGTATGTGCTCAAACATTCGAGATGTTTCAGTGTAATAGCACATATTAATAAATAGTTTACCAACAGATACATCATACCCATACAAAAGCGAAAATACCTACGCTATAATAGCCTACAAAATCTATCTGCTGCTCGAAACGAGAAAAAATGTACTATAAGTACGCGAACAGAGTCGAGATTGTGTTGCCCGCCGTGCGACTCACGTGCAAGCACGTCATCGCACGAATGCGCTAGGGTTGTACCTATGACGATTATTGTAATAAAACGAATGTTGCGAAATACATAACCATATTTGTTATTTGTCAATCAAAAATATTTGGGTTTTGTAAAATGATTTATAAATTTTGTTCCTTGTCTGAGTTCTCGGTTATTAAAATTTATCGTTGAAACTATCCTAAATCGCGTAAATAATTTTAATAAACAATCATGAGGAAAACAGGAGCAAAGCAGAGGAACATCAATGGTTTGCAAAAATTGTAACACGGTGCTGCCAGGTCGATTAATTATGACGTTAAAATTATTTAAGAATATTCTTTCTAATTCTTCAATATAATTATTAAACGTTTCTGGTGGGACTTTTGGGCCACCATAAAAAGATGTATCTGTATTATAGGCTTTGAAATGAGTATACAGTGTTGTTTCGTCAACATTAGGTTTCTCCTGTAACAAAGCATTGAAGCTAGTGCAGTTATGTCTTTTTGCTACACTTATTATAATAAATACCTTGATACATAGGTCAACGCAAAAAAAGACTATTCTTGATTTTGACACCCATCCACTGCACAATAATTACGTGGTTTCGGCATTTCGACGAGTAAGCGCGGGAAACGTGCGTGGTGCAAGCGCTTAGGCGGGCGTGTGGCAGCCCAATATCGGTTGTATCGTGGGCGATACGCAGAGCAGTAGGCATAATAACACGTGGGTTATAGCGAGTGACGGAGGCCTGGTAAAAGGTCCTATATAAAGGCGTTTAGGACCCCGACCGAGTGAGTATTGAATTGGAATATGGCTAAAATGAACTATGTCTTGAGGTCTTGACATTTTGCTTAGATCGGACCATAAACAATAAATAAAAAAGCTGAAGGTACTCTAGGTTTAACAATGACATTGGGATGTCAGTCACCTGTCCCCTGTGACCATGGGTGCTGGAAAGCACCCGAAACGTCGGGAATTAAAAATAAAAATAATTAAAATTATCGCGATAAAATCCGTAAAAGTATTTTTAATCAATAAATCTTTGTAGTAATAATATCATACAGACCGAATGTCGGTCACAACAGTCGGTATCAACAAAGATTAGCCATCTACGCAGGACAAGTTTATAGTGCAAGAATGTATGCGTAAGCACGGATGCACTCTATTACCGCACTCACCTAACACGACCGATGAGAGCTCAGGCGCATGGCTACTGGCTTTTCATGCTTTCCGAGCCACGGGGTGAAACACCGCCAACTTCCTAACTCCAAGCTGCAACTGAGAATTTCTTGATAGAAAAACCCAATAACTGGGTATGGCCCGACTTGCAATTCGAATCCCAGACCCTCATGATTAGCAACAACCACTATACCAATATATACAAGGTTTAAGTGTTAACACCGTTGTCACTAAGACCATAGGTAGTTGGCTTTAATATAAAAATATTTATCCGAATTTAAAAAAAAAACGCTATTTTCTTTCATAAAATTTAAAAAGTTTCTGTCCGACACCGTCCGTAAATTCATGGATGCACCCGAATGACGTAATCACCGTAAAGATCACTGCCCGCAGTAGCTACTTACACAACATTCCAACAAAAACACAATAGGTACACATAACCTGTGATGTACCTTTTCCTTCATACTTTTATCCTGGCTTAGGACAGGCAAAAATTGAGGAATTAAGGAAAAATTGAGATTTTACTAAAAGGAATGTTGTTATTTTTCATTGAATTTACGTTCTATAAGTGAAACCAAACCACTGGTTTCAAGGATAACGGTGTTTACACTAACAACCTGTATACATATAGTAGTAACAGGCTCGTAGCAAAAAGGCATATTTTTGTAGAATCTTTTGAAAAGAATTTTAAAATGGAAATATGTAATACTGATATATATTTCTTTCTTTCTTTTCTTTAATAAACAGTCGGCCAGTAGTAAAATTATTATTATTCAATGTAAATTCAGTAATATTTATAAGTTAACAGTTTATTATAGTATTTTCTAACTGTTACTGTTATAAAAATTAGAACTTGAGTCTGTTATTTACAGGTGTTTACTCCAAGTGTAAATGCACAGAATGCGGCCGTTGACATAGAACTATCGCAGACTGCCACGGTATGAAAAACATATTTTAATTTAATATTGAGAAATAGACAGTTCATAATATAATTTCGTAGTACATATTTTAATGTTAAATTATATGAATCATTAAAAAATTATTCATCCCATGACATGAATTATTTTTTATGATTACTTAAATACTACACATCAAGTAAATTAATTTTTATGGATTATAGTAAGACTTGCAACGAATATCCGGCTATTATTTGATATTCGGCCTATTACCCTACTTTTATCCTATTCCGTCAAATACCGAATATCTAGGTACTATTCGGCCGAATAGCGTATGTTCTCGATGTTGTAGGATTCAATGAAATAATTGCAATCTTATATAAAAACTGGTATAATAGGGACCATGGGTAGAGTATGTTCAAATTAAAAATGATATTATTTGAGCGGCCGCGCGTAATGTCAGTGCCAGGTCCGTTCGTTCACTGCCCGCTGTACTCCAAGCCAACCGCGGCTGCCAGCAGATCCGTTTTACTGCTTCTCTCACCTTAATATCGTTCAGTGATCCGAACAAATACTGAATACTAAAAATAAGAGGCTTTATTGTAGTCAGATAATTGGTAAAATGAAAATATTTATTTGTTTTTTTTTTATTGTAATCATTAAATAATTCATAGGTACATACATAATCAACTTCCATATTATAAAATTTAAAAAAAGAGCATCAGATAAATTGTAGAAGATGAGTAAGACTAATTTTTCTTCATTTTCAGGCAGTAGTTTCTGTCTTTTCTTCTCGTAGACAATCTCAGCGTCAGAGAATTGACGCTCTGAAAAATAAACATTACATCCTTCTCGGAATACTTTTGCCTAATAATCGGCTATTTGGCCAGGAACTCCTCAGAATATTCGTTATTCGTCGTGTGTCCAAATATACTATTCGTTGCAAGTCTTATTATAATGCGTTCATATACTTCTAGTGACCATGCTAAATAGCACTTGAAATGTTGGTAAGGTAAGAATTATATTAAACGCGCCAAAATCCGAAAAAATTACTTTGATCCTTCACAATGTGAAATAACATACATTGCTATATAGCAACTTAAAAGCACTTACGATCCCGGGTGCCATAAAACGCTTAACTTGTCAATGCACTAAATTAAGATTTTGTTTGTCAAACATCATTTTTGTAAAAAATCTCTGTGTGTCAAAAATCTACTAGTTTTAAAATGATGTTCCACTGATTGGAAAAGAATTTACTATTCTCCTTTAATCCTAGCTGGGTTGCCATGTAATATTAGAAGTATCAAATGAGACATTTTTTAAATAATTAAAAAAACATGTTGCTGATTAATGAGACTTCGTATATTACAATGGTATACACAATATTATAAATGTTGTTCGAGCTGCACTACAGAATCCCTTTTCTTATTGAACTAATAAGGCTTATCTGTAGAATTATTGTAAAATACCGTTTGAAGCATTTGGTTCATATTGAAAATGTTCATATTTCATATATAATTCGTTTTGCAGGAGGACTGGGATAGTCCAGCTGAAACGAACGGCCCCACAGAGTCTCATATCACCACCTACACATATCACAACACCACCCAAACTCATCACCACACCTTGCTTGAGGTAATTACTATTTTAGCTGTTAATTTAACTCATAATATTTTTAATATGTTATTAATTTTAGGACTGTGTTTTGATTCATTGCTATAATTTATAACTTACAAATGATTATTTGAATATATGAATGAATAGGATGTAAATACATGTACATATTTCCAGTGAATTTTATATGCTGGTAAAATTTTATACAGCCTCATATGACATTACTTATCTATAAGTCGCGGCACGTAACTCTAGCGCTGAACGAAACGTGGAGGACATAGTTGTGAATGTCGTATCAGTACCGTGGATGAAATGCGACTGGAGAGTCAAACAGAGCTTGCGAACGATACGCACAGCCAAAATACGCAATAATATGCGCAATACGGCTAATTATGCGAAATGACGGTCATTTTCTCGGTTCACATGGATCTCTTCTTTCGTCTCAAATATGGAAAAATAGATATTTTTCTTTTTATATAATCAAATAATTCACAGAATACCAGCGTGAAATAGTAGCTTAATGCTGCTGTATTTCGTATGGTGAGTGTAGAGAACCGGAGACCCTTTTTACTGGAAACGAGGCATTCCATCTCAGTCCTCACGGGTGACAACGCATCTGCATTTTGATTTTTAATGGAGGATAGATGTAGATGTCTATGGGCCGCAGCAACCACTTACCATCAGGTGGACTGTGTGCTCGTTTGTCACCCTATTCTATAAAAAAAATAAAAAACCACAGTGTCAAACAGAGTAACAGTCCAAATCATGATTGCTGCAGATTAGCGGAACCTGCAGCAATTATTTCTCAGAAGTGACAACGCATCTGTATTTTGATTCCTTATTGATGATAAATGTAGATGTAATAGTCTATGAGTGACAGCATTCAATTACCAGGAGGTGGACTGTAAGCTTGTATGTCACACTTATTTTATTTAAAAAAATAGTAGTATTGGCACAATATGTATTGTATCAGCATTACTATTGTCAAGGTTTATTTTCTTTTATAAGCCTGAATTTTTTGAAGGGCTGGGAATTTCGAATGAGAGTATTTCATTCACAAAGGTTCAAGTAACGCGCTATATATAAGACTGTAGTAGCACATGGAGTTTTGGCTGCTGTTTGGCGCGGTGCGAGGTTCTCCCCCTTTTCTACCGTGGCATGAGATTAATAACATAAAATATAATTATTCTCTTAAGCTCTTAAGCGACGGGATGTCTGTGGGTGCTTACAATTCGGTTGAATTATGTTTGCACTTGGTTCCGGATGACATGACAAAAATAATCAAAAAAGTAAACAAATAGGAGGCGAAAGTTAAGATGTGCGTACCAGTAACAAAGATGCAAACCGTACTGACGCGACTGTATGAACGGGGGGTTGAGAACGGAGAAATGGAGGGTCTCGGATTGCAGTGAGTTGTAAACTTAGCTCAACCGGGTTGTAGCTTTATAAGACTGAGATTAACCTGGTTGTGCGTTGTGCAGCAACAGATGGGCAGCGGGCAGGCGGCTGGCGGTAAGACGGACGCCGCGCCTGCGCCCGCCCCCGCGCCCGCCTCAGTCCCCGCGCCCGCTCCAGCTCCTGCGGACGCGCACCTCGCGCACCACCACCAGGTAACCACACCACACACTACCACTTAAGACCGATTTACACTTCGACAAGTACAGTAGCGAGTTTAGTTATAGGGCAGTTGACAGTAAACGATTAAGTAGGCAGTAGCGTTCAAACAATGTCTTCGTGGCGAGTTTAGTTAAGGACATTAGTTCATAGAGTTCGTTGGAGTATGACGTTTAAAGACTACAGAATTTTTCCGGTTTTCGTTTAAGATGATTCCAGGATTACGTCAAGAATTAAATGATCCAGTCAGAGAAGTATTAATGGTTGTTGTTAAAGAAGTTTTTAAGAATTTTCATGAGTGCAGCATCTCGAGCAGGTTCAATTTGAACTTCTACTATTATATAAACATTCGTGTTCTAAATACTCCTGTACGAATTTATACGTGATATCTTATGCACATTTTATTATTAAAACTCGATATAAAACGTATAAATATTCAACAAGCAGTATCGTACAAACTTTGTGGCGAGTTTCATTATAAAAGTACAATTGTACGTTTTGGCGCGCAAATGTTGCGTCCTGTCAACTTATGCACTGAACTAAACTCGCTCGTTTACACGAACGGCGAGTTTAGTTGCGGGTGACGGGAGACGCGCGGGAGGGCAGCACTTCGCACTTAACTCGCCGAAAAATAGCTCGGCCGGCTATCCCGTTCAACTTAATCGTTAACTTGCTACTTAACTCGCTTATTGCCATTTAAATGAGGTTCTGACTTAACTCGCCAGGTTCGGAAGTTAACTCGCTACTGTACTTGTCGAAGTGTAAATCGGTCTTAACCGCTCCATCGCTGGAACCACTGGAACGGACATAAAACACAAATGTATGAAAACTCGTTCAACCAAGTGGAGAATAACGCACACAAAGATTTTATTACGTTAATATAAACACAGATACGAAATTCGTAGAAGTTCTCTCTATTTCTAGTGCTTGAACATAGTCGATAAAATATATCGATGAACGACTGAGAAAGAAAAGGCGTATCGTAAATAAGCTGTAAGGCAAAGGAAATAAAGGGATATAATGATGGTGAGGTAAGCTTCCGGTATTTAAATTTTAACTAAAACAAAAGAATCAGGACATTGTTATGGACTTTTTATTCAATTAGTTATAATAAACGTCAAATTTTTTGTTAAGTTTAAATTATTTAAATAGGTTTACTGACTTTTACTATGTATCATCATCTTTCTTAAAATTTGTTTTGTTCGCTTGTTTTCTTATATAAGCAATTCTAATATTTATATACTTTTTAGCAACGGCTTTCGTTAATTCTTCGACGTGATTCACGTCGTCGTTTTCAAATTTATGGAAATGAATGTCTTCGTACAACGGAAGTTGCAGCAATGTTTCTGTTACTTTCGGCAGGAGAAAGTCTGTTGTGTAATCTTTTTGTAGTCTTTTATTCTGAACACCCTTCGTAAGTTCGAGTTCGCAGTGCTGACAAATAGCTATAGTATCACTTGAGGGAAGCATCAGTTTTCCCTTGTCTTTATGTACAATAAGACTGCCTTCATTGGTGTCATATTGTGGATCTTTGCATAAGTATTAAAACAGGCAGTATCGAAATGTACACTGCATATGGCGCTATGTTTCGTCGGAATCCAGGTTTCATATCTACGAACTGCTTCTACCCACTTTCTTTTCCGAGAAGCGTCACAAGGAAATCTGAAAATTCGTGTCATTTATGTATTTAAATGTTTTAAGTACAGATACTAATTATAATGTTTGCATTTATAATATTTTTATTTAACTATAAAAATTACCATTATAAATTTAATGACATAATATATTTAAGTGTTATTGTATTGTACAAATAACATCATCATTCATTCGGTTATTTCGTCAAATATCGATATATTTTTCGACATGGTCAAGCACTAGTCGATGTCAAATTGACTCACTCCACAGTTTTAGTCATTCGTTCTGAATGGTATAATCCACCCATTTTGTGATGGTTGTCATATGTCAACAATACATAGAAATTTCAACTATATTTAACATAGTTGGATAATACAAAATTTTATTTTACATTTGAGTAAATTTTGTGATAAATAACAATAAATGTAATTAAATAGTGTACTAACAAGTGAAAAGAAAAAGTTCTGCTTCCGCCGCTATAGTTTTTACACCATTTAACTGAACATTTAGTCATTTTTGGGAGATGTTTTGTTGACAAGTAAGTGCTTGAGACTGACGCAAAAACAAACGACCAAGACTAGAATTTCCTGGTTACTGACAAGACTGGTATAGGTAAGTCCGCTTATATGTCGGGTCCAGTGGTTATTTCGTTCAAGGGCTGCACCGACACGTGCCATCACTGCTCTACCGGAACCACACAATAATGTTTGTGGTGCGGAGAGTAATTATGATTATTAATTAAAAAATTGTATTGAGTGTTTTATTGAAAAAAGTACCTCTGGGTTTCTTGCTAGTTCTTCTCAAGATAGAGGTTTTTTTTACAGTATAGGGTGAGAAACATGCACGCAGTCCACCTGATGGTAGGTGGATGCTGTGGCCCATAGACATCTACATTTAACCTCGATTGCGCATCAAAATACAGGTGCCATGTCACCCCTGAGGAATAAGATAAAATGCCTTGTTTGCCGGGTCTCCGATTCTCCATACTCACTATACGAATCACAGCAGCATTAAGCTGCTATTTTACACCAGTATTTCCTGTGAGCGTGGTCCTACCCTGGTCAAGCCTACCATATTTCCGAACCAGTGGTTAAACTATAATAACTTCTATTTTGTTTGAGAGTATTATAGTGATCTATATTGAATAAGAATGATTCAGTTCTATTCTAAAAACATATCTGTCGTCTTACTTTAATGAAGCAACTAACAAAGACTGTAAGCTTCTTAGAAGCCAGAATCTTCTCTCATACTAACCTCTACTTTCTTCCCTATTACAACTAACACTCATCAGTTCATTTATTATTATTGATCCAAATATGTCTTATAGATATCTTATCAATACATTAAAATCAACTAATCACATAGTGAGGCATAAGAAACGTATAAGATGAGATGAACTCTACAACTATCCAAAAACAATTTAGTTAATTTAGCACAAATATTACTAACAAATACAATTAAAATCGGGACATGAATGTGTTTCTTAGCAGCTGACTGACAAAAAATAATCAGCAATATGCATTTCAATGGAAAATAAAAATTAAATACCTTTAAGGGGAAATATAACCTCAAATGGCTTAGCAACATCCTCCGTTATGCCGAAAATATTGCAGCATTAATTTTGAAATAAATATATGGTAAAGTTAATGCTAAGTACTATGTTAGACGAAAACATAATTCCGTAAAATTTTCTCCATAGAAAAAAAAATCCAAAGTTACCTCCAAACTGAACAATAAACCGCTGTCATTCATAAAATACTTTAAATAAACTAACTATAAAGCAGAGCTTATGTATTTTTTTTTAAATAATCATTATTTTCACTGTAAAAAGAAATTACCTAAACTATCAGCGTCCTGAAGCTTGTTTCCTGCCGCCCGGTCCCAATATAGAAAATTCTGAAATAGAATTGGATCTGAATGAAACTCTAAATATTGATGATTGTATATTTTCAGCCAATGGGCATGTCAGGCAGCTTGAGTGCGGCTCAATCGCAGTATCTGTCGCAGCTCACCCAGCAATTGCAGAGGCATGACACTAGTATGTATATTTCATATGAATACATTTTCTTGCCAGCACAAAGTGCCATAGTAATTTGGTTGTAGACTTCACTGACGAAATCTAGATCTAGAAAACCGTGGTAGCTCAGATGGTTAACGCTCGCTGTAAATATAACTGAACGTGAGTAACCCGGGTTCGATCCCCGCCATTCCATTCCATTCGTCCATAGTGCGATACTAATTTCGCCTGACGTCGGCTTTAGCGAATAGTTTTGGCGTCTCATGGACGCCAACGGCAGCCATGGAAGCACTGCCGGCGTCGATGCCATGGCATCCTAATGATATAGGGCTCTTAGTCTGTTCGCTCAGATACGTTCGCTTTTTTTGTCGCGCCGCGGTGATGCACGTGCCGCGTCTTGTAAAAGGCGCCGTCGCTACATCAAAGTTACTTTTCTTTTTTTGTTTTTTACCTAAATTTTCTCTATTATTTATATTCGTGTTTATTACGGTAACCATATGAATAAAATAGTAAAAAAATAAAATTAAAGCACATTAATGAGTGCGCCTTCGGAGTACCACGTGCTCGGTGGTGAAGGAAAACATCGTGAGGAAACTTGCATGTCTGAGTAATAAGAGAGAAAAAATAATATTTCGAAGACATGTGAAGTTCGCCAACACGCATTGGGGCACCGCGGCGGACACTTCCTTGCTTTAAAACCCTCTCAGAAATGAGGGGAGGCCTGTGCCCAGCAGTAGGACGTATATTAGGATTAGACGTAGGCTGTAACTATCTGACTAATAGAACAATCTTTTCAAAACTGCCAGTGTTAGACTGCTTGCCGATGATTCCAAGGCAGTAACAGTATTTTTACGAGAACGTTAATGATTAAAGGTTATCTGATGGATATTATATTATATGTATACAAGTTATGTATTACATTTCTATTCAATTGTATAATTAAATAATTATGGATTATTAATGTGACAAAAGCCTTCTTAAATGTTTCGATTTTTGGTTGTTCCGAGCACTAACACTAAAACTGTTTCTTTTATATATTAGATATTAGAAATTAGAATTGTGTTTTACGATTTCAGGCGTTTATACGAGCAACTACGGTGTGTACGGTTCAGCGGACATTACAAGCCAGCGTAAGACGCAGAGGGCGAGGGTTCCGCCACCTTCTAAGGTTACTACAATTTTTTGTTTTTTATAAAACTGAAATAATAAACTTATAGTTCAACTGATAGTAAGTGGCTACCACAATCGATGCTCCTGCATAACATTTTATACAAATAATAAATAAATCTATAAGAAACACAAATTTTAATGAAAGTCATCTTGTGCCCTGCAATATATTTTCGAATAACCCAAGACACCCACTTGTTATTTATTGTGTTATATACACAGTCAAATATTGTGAATTTAATTTATTCTTCATCATCATTACAGCCCTTCACAAGTCCACTGCTGAACATAGGCCTCCCCCAAGTAATGCCACAAAGCACAATCCTGAGCCACCTGCATCTATCGACGTCCTGCATGTCTTATCACGTCATCACTCCATCTAGTGGGACGTCGCCTACACTACGCATACCGGTACGAGGCTGCCATTCGATAACCTTTTTTCCCCATCGGTTGTCAGTTCTTTGAGCTATATGGCCGGTCTATTGCTCGTTCAGCTTACTATTCCATTGGGTTATGTCGGTCACTCTGGTTCGGATATCCTCATTTCTAAGTTTATCATGTAGATAAACCCCGAGCATAGCCCGCTGAGCGACCTTGAACGTCCTCATATTGTCAGCAGCAAAGGACCACGTCTCAGATCCATAAATCATCACTGTCAAAACAGTGCATGGTACAATTTAGTTTTCAGGTTTTGAGATTTACCTTACGAGAAGATGTGTCGTATTTTCCTGAACGCTGCCTAGCCGAGTTGAACCCGTCGATTGACCCCTTGGTCGAAGTTGGACTTACCTAGTCGGACTATTTGTCCCAGGTAAACATACTCATCAACAACTTCAAACTTAGTGCTCCCAACAACTATCGACATAGGTGTGACATGGACTTTAAACATGATCTTTGTTTTGTTCATGTTCATCTTAAAACCTATTTGTTGAGAGACACTATTGAGGTCATTGAACATAGTGCTAAGGTCCTCCAGCGATTCTGCCATAAAGACCTATATCGTCGGTAGCCATCGTAGCCCTACTGTACAAACACTTCAACACTTCGATATACCGCCAGTTAACTTGGCACCGCTGAAGGGACTGTAGCACCGCCCAAATTTCGATGGAATCAAAGGCTTTTTCTTAGACCACATACGCCGGCCAAAGTGGCAGATTGTATTCTTCGGTCTTCTGTACAATCTGCCGTAGGGTGTGTATGTGGTCTATGGTACTGAAACCTTTTCGGAAACCGGCTTGTACGGGAGGCTGGAAGTCGTCGAGTCGATTTTATTTTATTGTTACATAATAATTATTTGGTGTCAGTTAAGTTTAGAACTACGGATTTTACTATGGGACTGTGGGATGTAGTTTTCGCACAGAATATTTTCGGCTTTATTGGTCCAAGTCTAGAGTCAACAGTGTGGTTGTGTTAACACAATCTCATAAGAATACTTTCAAAATAAAGAAAATTTCTTTATTTTGAAACTTCTCATCTGGTTTTGTTGCATTGTCTATTTGTGTAAATGTATCATTTTAAATAATTTATATTGATACATTTACACAATATACAAGATGTTTTTTTTTTAAATATTTATATAGTAATTTGGGTTTAAAAAAAGTATCATAATTTAAAATTTAGTTGTGGAGCAAATCCCACCAGCAAATGATTTTCCAACGACTCCAAATTTATGCAGTTGCACTGTGGGTCAGGTTTTTATGTGTGGTATATCTGCCTGTATTAAATGCTTGTATTAAGTAGAAATGTGTAAGTTTAAATGAAGACGAACATTGCATTTTGTTGTGAGCTGGTATTGATACAAAGTATATGCGCGCATGCAGATCCCGTCGTCGGCAGTGGAGATGCCGGGCGGCGGCGAGGCGGGCGGCGCGATGTTCCTGGACGTGCAGTTCGGCGCGCTTGAGCCCGACGCGCTGCACGAGCCGCACGCGCAGCCGCAGCACGCGCAGCAGCAGCACGCGCAGCAACAGCATCCGCAGCAGCAGCACCCGCAGCAACCCACACTGCAGCACCAACAGCATGCGCCGCCCCCACACTCGCAGCCACCCAAACAGGTTTGTATATAGAGTATTGATTTCTCTGTTCTATATATAATAATGATTAGACGCCGGCAGCGTCGCCAATTGTAACATATTATATTCTATTAGAACGTACTTAACCTTACCTCACTTGGCGTCGAAGCCATTTTGGCGGCGATGCCATCTCGAACCCGCCCGCTTGCTTGTCCTGGCAGCGGCGCCACACTGTGTAGTGTGTGTGTAGTGAGTTAATTCATCAAATGATAGCACAGACACCCTCACGTAATTAAATAATTTCGTGGAGGAAGCGTTAGGATATTTTCGTTAGTAGTCGTATAATTTGTAAAAAATGCCACTTCTCATTCGATCGGCACTAAAAGGGTGTACCCATAGTTTCTTTTTATTTTTTCGTTTTAATTGTCTACGGCGGTAAAGAATGAGGATCGCTATCTCTTCGACGTCCATTGTGGTTGCATGAACAAGCGATACTAATTTCGCCTGACATCGGCTTTAGCGACTAGTTTTGGCGTCTCATGGACGCCAACGGTAGCCATGGAAGCACTGCCGGCGTCGATGCCATGGCATCCTAATGATATATAGGGCTCTTAGTCTGTTCGCTCAGATACGTTCGCTTTTTTGTCGCGCCGCGGTGATGCACGTGCCGCATCTTGTAAAAGGCGCCGCCGCTACATCAAATTTACACAGGTACACCCGCAGTAGAAGTTTGCTTTTTAAAACGAAGCAGCGTAGCAAAAGGTTCTTTTCTACCTAAATTTTCTCTATTATTTATATTCGAGTTTATTACGGCAACCATATGAATAAAATAGTAAAAAAATAAAATTAAAGCACAATAATGAGTGCGCCTTCGGATTACCACGTGCTCGGCGGTGAAGGAAAACATCGTGAGAAAACCTGCATGTCTGAGGAATAAGAAAAAAAAATTTCGAAGACATGCGAAGTTCGCCAACACGCATTGGGGCAGCCCACACAAGACAATTCCTTTTCCTAAAACCCTCTCAGAAATGAAGGCAGGCCTATGCCCAGCTGTGGGACGTATATAGGCTGTAACTTTACTGCGAATTTACCGACATACGAAATGCTGTAAAGCACCCGAAACCGATAAAAGTAAAACGCGATAAACTCCGTAAAATTAATTTCATGTAACAATATTTATAAATTTGACGTTTTTACAGAAAAATGATCCTATTGGAGTCAAACATTATTAGTCATAATTACACATTATATATATTAATATTAAATATAAATATACATAAATACAATATTACCGTTACCGTTACAGCCTATAAAAGTCCACTGCTGAAAATAGGCCCTTCTATAGATTGTCTCATAGGGGGATACTGCAATAGTTGCCACTCTTAGCAAGCTAGTTAACAGCTGCAGTATTTTTATTTTTATTCAGTTGTTTCCAGAAAATTACTGCTGCCTATCTCCTAGTTCAGCTTCCATCTGTCGCCTGTTACGACCATTTTACTAAATCCACTTGTCACACAAAGATAAAAAGCACCACATATCGTAAATACAACTGGTATATACGTAATATAACTTATACCTAGTTGATTTATAAAATAAATACAGTACAGTGAACATTTTTCATAAGTTATCTGTTGAATATTCATGTATATAAAGGAATTAATGATTCCTTTGCGGTATGTTACAAAAATATATCTAACTTAAGTTAGTGTCATAGCCAATATTTTTCCTATCCTGGACCATTTATGTTTAAGTATTATCAAGACATTTTTTATACTCATATCACTAATGAACTTTTTTATTTTGTTTTAAGGGTGTCACACTATGCAGGTACGATAAAATATCTGTGTCTGAGCGCATATCTTTCAATATCGCTCTATGAAATAAAATGATCTCACAGTGTAAATAATTTATATTTTATTGTTAATAAGCGTCGACCTATATCGAAAGATAGTGACAATACTATCTGCTCACACAAATATATCTGTATATACAAATATGGCATAAGATTTTACCTGCAGATAAATACAGAATGGTCGGTGATTAAATTCGCCTTAGTCCTTTTTAAGCTTTATATGACATTCTATCCAAGTTCTTCTCATCATCATCATCATCATCATTACAGCCCTTCACAAGTCCACTGCTGAACATAGGCCTCCCCCAAGTAATGCCACAAAGCACGGTCCTGAGCCACCTGCATCCATCGACTTCCTGCATGTCTTACCAGGTCGTCACTCCATCTAGTGGGGGGGTCGCCCTACACTACGCCTACCGGTACGAGGCTGCCACTCGAGAACCTTTCTTCCCCATCGGTTATCGGTTCTTCGAGCTATATGGCCGGCCCATTGCCACTTCAGCTTACTAATCCGTTGGGCTATGTCGGTCACTCTGGTTTTACTGCGGATATCCTCATTTCTGAGTCTATCACGCAGTAAAACTCCGAGCATAGCCCTCTCCATAGCTCGCTGAGCGACCTTGAGCGTCCTCATACGGCCAGCGGCGAAGGACCATGTCTCAGATCCGTAAGTCATCACTGGCGACACGCACTGGTTATACACTTTAGTTTTCAGAGATTGAGGTATACCTGACGAGAAGATGTGTCGTAATTTCTCGAACGCTGCCCAGCCGAGTTGAATCCGTCGATTGACCTCTCGGTCGAAGTTGGACTTACCTAGTCGGACTATTTGTCCCAGGTAAACGTACTCGTCAACAACTTCGAGCATAGTGCTCCCAACAACTACCGGCATAGGAGTGACATGGACATTAAACATGATCTTTGTTTTGTCCATGTTCATCTTAAGACCTATCTGTTGGGAGACACCATTGAGGTCATTGAGCATAGTGCTAAGGTCCTCCAGCGATTCTGCCATAAGGACTATATCGTCGGCAAATCGAAGGTGAGTGATGTACTCGCCATTGAAGTTAATACTGTATCCTTTCCAGTCCAGTAGCTTGAAAACGTCTTCCAACGCAGCGGTGAAGAGTTTCGGGGATATATCATAACATCACCCTGTCTTACACCTCTCTGCAGTTGGATAGGTTACGTACTCTGGTTCTGTACTCGGATAGCCATCGTAGCCCTACTGTACAAACACTTCAGCACTTCAATATACCGACAGTCAACTAGGCACCGCTGAAGAGACTGTAGCACCGCCCAAATTTTGACGGAATCAAAGGCTTTCTCATAGTCCACATACGCCAGGCAAAGTGGCAGATTGTACTCTTCGGACTTCTGTACAATTTGCCGAAGGGTATGTATGTGGTCTATGGTACTGAAGCCTTTTCGGAAACCGGCTTGTTCGGGAGGCTGGAAGTCGTCGAGTCTGCGTGCGAGACGATTCGTAATGACTCTCGAAAACAGCACGTAGACGCGGCTCAGAAGGGAAATCGGTCTGTAGTTCTTCAAGAGAGCGTTGTCGCCTTTCTTAAAGAACAAGACCACCGCGCTTCTGCTCCACGCCTCCGGAGTAGTGCCACCATGGAGGACGGAATTGAAGAGCTTCTGAAGGACTTCAAGTACCGGTGTTCCACCCGCTTTCAGAAGTTCCGCTGTAATTCCATCCTCGCCCGGGGCCTTGCCGCTTTTAAGGTGGTGGAGAGCCATTCTAATCTCGCTCAGACTGACGTCCGGGATATCATCGGAATATTGTCGGATAAGACTTGCTATTGGATCGTTACTCACACTTGCGTGTGGCTCCAACGATGATGTGTACAGCTGCCCATAGAACCTCTCAATCTCACTCAGGATCTCAGGTGTCCCGGAAACGATGTTGCCACACTCAGTCTTCAGCCTTGACAGTTGGCTCTTTCTGGCAGACAGATCTCTGGCAAAGACTTTGGAGCCCTGGTTCCGCTCGATCGCTTCTTTAATACGAGCAGTATTAAAGTTGCGTAAGTCTCGCCGCATGCATTTGGAGATCTGTCTGTTCAGTTGCCTGTATGCTGTCAAATCTGTTGACGATTGCAGCCTCATCTCCCATCTAACAGCCATGAGATTAAGAGTGTGATCGGAGAGTTTTTGTGTTCTTCTACGGCGAGTCTTGCAGAACTTAGCTCCGACCTCATGGACAGTTTCAACGAGCTTGTCATTCATATCGTCCACTGCATTGCAATCCTCTAGGCACTGAAAGCGGTTTTGTAACTCGAGCTGAAAGGTTTCGGGATTCTGGATCAGAGCACGAGGGGGACGGAGCGTTGACTTCATTAGACGAGACCTCTCCAACTTAACATTTAGGTTTTTAAAAAAAAATCCAATTTCTTCACCTTTTAGTAAATGCTAATGCAACATGTGCATCAAGACCAGAATCTGTATCCTATTCTGATGAGCTGTCTAGCAAATCTAGAAGCAATATATGCCAACTCATTGTAGGTAACACTCTGTATGAACAATCCGCTCCAAAAACACGTCTCAAGTTTGAAGGATTTCGAGGGTTTCGGATAATATACGAATGTTTCATTTCGTATATTATCGTATCTGCGTAGTGTGTGATATATTCAGATAAATAAGTTTTTATATGCACCTAGGTATGCACCTTTTGTGGCATACCTTGGGGGAGGCCTATGTTCAGCAGTGGACTTGTGAAGGGCTGTAATGATGATGATTATGATGCACCTAAAATACTATCGTATCTGCATAGTCTGTGACTCGCTTAACAAATTACAAAGAAGGAAACAGATTTTTGCCACTCCTGAGGTTTATGGTGTAATATTTCACAGCATACTGAATGTTATCTGTAAACGAGAACAAAGCAGGGCCTGTACTGTAACTTAGTGTTAAATAACTTAATGAAACTTTGCTTAGACTTCCACATATCTGTAAAACAAACTGGACCATTACTTTTTTAATCTACATTCAGGTCACATCAGCAGCGGAAACACAGCCCGCAGCAAGCCATGAGACTACCGTTGAGGCGCCCAGTAATAGCTATCCCAATACCAATGCAATGGTGAGCCATTATTTACTATTTAATGACATACATATTTTTCTTCTGCATTTATTATCACATAAGTATAATGGAACAAACATGGGGCAAGTGATACTCGTCGCACCCGTAGAGGGGCACGACGCGTTCCAGTACACACCATACACCTGGTTAGTTCTCACTGCCCAGACCATCGACCGACACGAGCTAAGCAGTCAGAGGCGGGAGTCCGCACTCCCCCACTCGGACAGCGGTTAGATAGCTCAATAACGCCTAACGAGGCGACATGATGATTGGTAACAATACCAAACCATAAACCATTATCATCATCATCCTCACGTCATTGCCTTTCCCTTTTTAAATTAGTTTAAATGAATCTGTAAGGGTCGCATAGACTAACAGCAAAAACATATCGAAAATAGTCGTAAGTAATAATGATGATGATGGAATCAACACACTCGGAAATAATTATGCCCATAAAGAATTATGTGAAACATTCTCAGTGAGCAACCATCCTTTTTATGTTGATAGTAAAATATTTTGATTCTGTTAGCATTTTCCTTTATATAATAAAAAAAATTGTTTATGAATAAGGTGGGTTAGATATTAGTGAAATTCACAGTAGGTGGTATCATGTAACACACACCACACATGTAACTGCAGGTTACATGATACCTGTTGTTGTATGTACATGTCACCACAGCGTGGTGTACACATATATTTATTTTTGTTTTAGCCTATAGAAAAAAAATATTTTTGTATTTTTTAAATATATTTATTATAAAAATACAATAATCATCGGTGTGTTAAAAATATTCACAAAAATAATAAATATTCATAATATAAGTGAAAAAACATCGTACACCCATAACACATAACATATTTTCATTTTCATTACATTATTATTCGCAATGGCGCCTTTACGTCTATATTGAGAAAAAAGGATATTATGTCAAATAAATATAAATGTAATCTATTTAAAAAAGAATAATTATTATTATAAGTATTATTATTAAATTCATAAGTCAACAAAATCAACTTATTCTCTTTAAAAATGATTTCTAGTTAAGTGAGAGCTTATCGTCGGTGGACACAACGCCTACTAGTCAGCCTGTCGCTTCGGAACCGGCCACCACAAACACTACCTGTGAGTATTCTATAAAAGTTTATTCAGAACTTGCAATTTTGAAATTTGTTTTTAAGTATAGCCATTTTACCATTGTATCATCAAATACATTTGAGTGACTCATTTTAGAGTTAATTTTGTAATACTATTGTTTCAAGGAGATTTTTAATTTCACTTTTATCCATGAAGCTCCATGAATTACAAGGAGCGCATAAGCAATGGTTTATATATTTTACGTCAACCTTTAAGAGCAAGAAAAATTTTTATACATAGTTTTCATTTTTATTATAAACTAGCTGTTCTCCACAACTTTTATACATTGTAAAGGTAGAGCCATGCTGCAGTTATATTAGTAGTATAGTTGTAGCACGAATGGGTTGAGCTAGACCGGGGAAGGACCAGGCTCTCACAGAACACCAGCGAAAAATAGTAGCTTAATGCTGCTGTGTTTCGTATGGGAGTGTAGAGAACCGGAGATCGTTTTTACTGGAAACGAGGTATTCAGTCTTAGTCCTCACGGGTGACAACGCATCTGCATTTTGTATAATAATAATATTTATCTCTCTCCTATGTTATATTTCGTTAGCACGGCGCTAGAGCGAAGCGACCGGTGTCGCGTTCGGTGTAAAGTCCGTGCGACATGAACTCGTCCCACATTCCCGGTTCACTCATTCGCACTTGACTGAGTGGCGCTAATTGGGACGCACATTTACGTTGCTATATTTAATTATATGTTACATATTAAAAGGGCAGGCCACTGCTCAATGTGGACCATGGGTCTCGAAATACTGCTACAATGCACGATTATAGTAAATAAGTAAATCTTAACCAATTTAATTGATAGCTGTTGCAAAGTAGCCTTAAGTCTATAGCTAGGCATATGAGTAGATTTATCCCATCGTAAGCATCACAGTCCATCACTAGTCCACTGCTGAACATATGGCTATCCCATCAGACGATCATCATTACGATCTCGAGTTTTACATAGGCCTCTATTCTCATCAGAAATTTCTCCATGCTTCCAGTCTAGTATTTGCCATAATCGTCATGCTTTGTAGGCAATAACAACAGACATTTGACAAGTTTGACTTACTACCTATTGATTAAAACTACTTTTAGGGATTTTATCGCGTTTAATTTTCTTGATTTTTAATTCCCGACGTTGAAGTTTAGTAGTTGAGGTAGTTTTAATCAACGTATAGACCGCCGCTGGGGTCAGGTAGGCTAGTGCTTCTGAGTGCTCGTTTTACTTGGCCCCATGGCCTTCGCGCATCAATTACGGGGGCATCCGTTGCGGAGGTGTAGCTTGGAGGCCGTGGAGGAAGGCGCGCCATGTGTTCTGGTGCGCCTTACTTGAGAAGGAGAAAGGGGAGGAGTGGTTCTGTTCCGAGGAGGCACCGCCATGGGGCGGCCGGCGCTGGTGGGCCCGCGGACGTATGCGAAAACGTTCCCGGGGCCCTGCCAATATGAGACGAAGGTGGAACATCATGAGGTTTTAGTCGGTTCGAGTCCGATATAACCCGTCCTTTCCCCCTCAAGGCGGGGGTGTGCGTAGGCGTTTCCCCATAGAATTTTTTTTTTAAATCAACGTGTAGTGTTTTCGCGTAAATATAAGAAATCATGTTGCTACCCATTCTCAATCTGTGGATTTTATGCCTGTTATATTATAATTAGGGGATAATTATACCACTATCTATCAGATGACACAAGATCTTTGTGGGCCATTCCTTAAGGTGTTTCTTATTGAAACATTTACACCCCTCCAAAGACGTGCCCAAGGCCACACCCTTTTCTTCCCGCCTAGTGTGCGTGTACGCAAGACTCGCCTCTTGCATCGATCGCCGGCCGTCGGAACATTTAGGCCTAAACACTTGCAATTAAATACGATGTCGGTGCAACGCTCTCCGCCCGGTGGGTTAGCTCCACCAAGCACTAAAATGCACTATAGTTCAGATCCGACCCTTAACGAGATTGCCAACATGGATGAAAATATTCATAGCTATAGCATCACCAAGCGACAGAAACGTACATTTGATAACTTAAAAGATCAATCGAGGTCATCTATATCCGAAATAAAAAATATGTTTTCTGAACTTAAAGAACAACAAGATCATAAGTTTGAATTGTTGAATAACACTCTCACTGCTATAATGACACAAAACCAAGACTTACACAAATCGCTCGAAATGTTTACTAATCGGCATGAAGAATTACTACAAAAAAATTAATATCCTGGAACAAGAAAATAACGATTATAAGAAGCGAGTGTGCGTCTTGGAACATAAATTAGATCACTTAGAAAGAAATGCGAGTAGTACAACTATTGAAATCCGCAACTTATCCAAACAAAATAATGAAAATAAAGAAGTTCTGACTCACATAATCCAGAAACTTGGCTCGACATTGGGCCTGGAAACCTCAATTCAGGAATCGGAAATCAGAAACATTTATCGCTTCAGATCTGAGACACTGGTGGTAGACTTCACCACGTCCCTTCGGAAAGAATCCATTATATCAAAATACAAAATATATAATAAAGCAAAACGCGAAGGTAAGGAGCCGCAATTAAATTCGGATCACATTAATCTACCAGGTCCATCACGCCCTATATATATATCTGAGTATTTAACAAGTAAAGTAAGAAGATTATTCTACCTCGCACGCGAAAATGTCAAAAACAGAAAGCTGGTTGCAGCCTGGACAACGCATGGGAAGGTCTACGTGAAAAAGGAGGAGGGAGCAGCGCCAATTCGTATTGAAGAAGAAAACGATTTACATAAATTAATCATATGACTAGCCACGCCAGGTTACAGCGATCATTGTTTTGTTTTGTCATTTACTTTTTTTATTCGTTTTTATTTTTACTTGTTATTTTATATCCATGTTCAATTCCTTTACTTATACATTTTTTACTCACAGAAGATTTTCAGATATTCACAGTCTAAGTCACTACTCACACAATATACACTAATCACACTCTATACTCAATGCACGTTACACAAACTAACTATATCGTCGAATAACAGAATTACTCTAACTATAAAAACATATCGCATTACTCCCTGGTCAGCCACAAATATCCTAACAGATCAAAAACCACGCATGAAATGTATAATTCTTCAGTCACGAGTAAATTTCCGTGACTGTCATTTTTCATATTACATTATATTGGACATTTACAAATATGCAAAATATTGAAATTTTAAATTCAGATCTGGATACGATAAAAGTGGCTGAAGCAATCGTATGCGACATTGACGATATGAAACAACACATTAAAAACAATAATTGCACACTAAACCTTCTTTCTCAAAACATCCGTAGTATTAACCGTAATATGCCTAACTTTATTACATTCCTACAAAGATCCGAAATATTCTGGGATATACTAGTACTTTCTGAATGTTGGTTACCATCGGCTAAGTTCATACCCAATATCGACAACTACAATTATATAAAAACAACAACCCATAAAACCCAGAACGAGGGAGTGGCAATATATTATAATAAACACCTAAAGGTATCGTTTGAAGAACCCCAAATCAGCGATGCCAATTGTCTACTATTAAGGCTTAATACCGAAACCTGTGTTATTGGCATATATAGACCACCTAGCCAAACTAATACCGGCGATTTTATAAATTCTCTTGACTCCCTTCTGTCTAAACTTAAAAACTATAAAAACATAATTCTCTGTGGCGACATCAATATAGATATTGTCCCGGATAGCTCAGATAAGCGCTCACATGACTACCTAAATGTATTGGCGAGTCATAGCATGCTTCCAGGACACACCAAGCCCACTCGTGGTAGAACATGCCTGGATCACATTATAATTAAAACTAAATTAGTGGCTACTTGTTTCATTTTGGAGTCATCGATTACTGACCACGAAAGTGTAGCCGTCAGCTTTACTCAACCTTCTCGCCCAGAATACTTAAATAAGTCATGTTATCGCATTAACTTTTTGGAATTAGACAAAACTATGCAAGGATTTAAATGTCAGAAAATTCTTCATTGCGTGGAAGCAAACCTAGCAACAGATTTGTTTCTGAAATATTTAAATACATCCATAAGGGATAATACCACCTTGATTAAAACGCCTAAAAGAAAACTTATAAGGAAACCGTGGGTTACCAAAGGATTAATGCGGTGTATGAAAAACAAGGACAACCTTTACAAGAAATTAAAAAAAGGACCCTGAAAATGAAGCACTCAAACTAACTTACAAACGCTACCGGAATTACTGTAACTCCCTTCTTAAAAAAGCGAAAAGAGATTATGAGAAACAAGAGATCGAGAAGGCGAAATATAATAAAAAAAAGCTGTGGGAAGCCATAAAAAATCTGACCGGCTCCAATAGGGTAGTAGATCGCTCATCCTGTCTTATCTCTCCCGAAAATCCGGAAAAAAGTATAAACGACATCAACTATTTCTTCGCTAATATTGGACGAAACCTAGCTGAAGACATTATATTACGTTCTGGACACAGAAAATTTACTGAACCTGACGTCTTGTATCCATCCCCCATCAATTCATTTGTCATGCTACTTACGGATGAGGATGAAATTTTCCAGGAGATCCAGTGTTTAAGAGACAACTGTGCAGTAGGGCTCGACCAGATTTCTAGCATAATACTCAAGAGATATATACACATCCTCACCCCCCTATTACACATATATGCAACCTGTCTTTGTCTACGGGAATCTTTCCCTCAGCATTCAAAACAGCACTCATCAAACCCATTCACAAAAGTGGTGAGAGGGACTGTGTCAATAACTACAGGCCAATCTCCATCTTACCCACACTGTCCAAAATCTTGGAGCGCCTAATAAATAAGCGCTTAATCAATTTCCTGGAGGGAAATAATCTCCTTTCACCAGCGCAATTCGGATTTCGGCAAGGCAAGTCAACAAATAATGCGGTACATGAGCTTGTTAACTCAGTCATAACCAACTTGGATGAAAGAAGAAAATGCTTAACAATATTTCTCGATCTAGCGAAAGCATTTGACACAGTCCCAATCCCACACCTCATAACCAAGCTGGAAAAAATCGGTGTGAGAGGCTTACCTCTGCAGTTAATATCAAACTTTCTGAGTGGAAGAAAGCAGAGAGTTGGAATAGAGAATGCGATAAGTGAAGAGTTAATTGTCAAATTTGGTCTGCCCCAAGGTAGCATACTCAGCCCAACGCTGTTCTTGATATATGTCAACGATTTATGCCAGCTTCAGCTACACAATGGAAAAATATTCTCATTTGCCGACGATACTGCACTATTCTTCAGTGGTAATAGTTGGAGGGAGGTTTTTGATTTTGCACAAAGAGGTTTTACTAAGTGCTGCCTCTGGTTACAAAAGAATGTGTTGACACTAAACACTGATAAAACAAAATACATAACCTTCACACTTAGGTCGAACCAAAGTCCCCCTCACTCCCTCTCCATCACAGCCCATGTTTGCAACTCTGAGCCAACTATTTGCAATTGTCCCGCTATTCAAAAAACAGACAAAATCAAATACCTCGGAATTATAATAGACCAAACTCTGACTTTCAAGCCACATATTGAGATACTTGTCACTAGGTTACGCAAGCTCATTTACATCTTCAAATCTCTTAAACACGTAGCAGACTGCCGAATCATCAAGATGGTCTACCACGCTCTATGCCAATCACTTGTAGATTACTGCATCAGCTCATGGGGTGGTGCAGCTAAAACCCACCTAATTGAGGTTGAAAGAGCCCAACGGGCCATCCTAAAAGTCAGTGCAGGTCTCCCGTTCTGCTTTCCTACAGTGGAACTCTACAGAAAGTGGGACGTTCTAACAGTGAGACAGTCTTTCATCGTACAAACTGTCCTAATGAAACACTCTCAATGTAAATACGATCCGGAGCTCCTAAAAGACAAACGCAGAAAAGGTTCTGTCTGTCGAACCCAATCCTTCCATTCGGCCACCTCACACAATTTCTTCTGTTTCCTAGGACCATACAAGTATAATAAACTGAACAATATCCTAAACTTCTATCCCTTACCTAAATCGAGCTGCATATCCGTTCTTACAAAATATCTGAAAACTTTAGACTATGAAGCGACAGAAAACCTACTAAAGTCACCCATATAATTATATTAATGTCGTCGAAGTCTTCACACTTTCTTCTCCTTATTTGGGTTTAAATGCAATTATACGAGTATGTTAGTCCTAACTCACGCAATAGCAGGTACGTCCACAATCACACTAACTCTCTCAAATCTCACAACACTAACTCACACACACATTCCCACACACAACACACACACACACACACACACACACACACACACACACACACACACACACACACACATGCACACACAAAAGGCACGCGCCTGCACGAGCTCACACGCACAACTACACTTTCATAGTACACACTTATTGATGTAAAATTTGTAATTATTGCAGTTCATTTTAGTTACTTAATTATATTCTCCTTTCTGATTGTATTCCTCAGATTGTTGCTTTATACGCGGGGGAGCCCTGGTGACCTGTAATACAGGTTTTTTAAACCTACATCAGGCACCAGTCTCTCACAAGTTAGGTACCAGTCTGGCACTTTTGTAAACACTTAGCATTAAGAATACCTGTTGTGAAGAGAGAATAAATGCATTCATTCATTCATTCATTCATTCATTCACTATCTATCAGATGACACAAGATCTTTGTGGGCCATTCCTTAAGGTGTTTCTTATTGAAATGAGATTGCAATATACTCTAGACTATTGATGAATATTTGATCCGGCAGCACTAGAGAAGCAACTGTCGGCGTCGATGAAGCAACTATCTGTGTCGAGCGTGTCGAGTACGGCGTCGGGCGCAGTGTCGGGTGCGGCGACGGGAGTGTCGGGAGTGTCTGGCGCGGTGTCGGCGGTGTCCGCGGTGTCGGCGGTGTCGGACGCCAGCGTGCCGGTGACTGTCGCACCCGCGCAAGCATTGCACGCGCCGCCACATTACGCACACCACAGGCCAAAGGTAACCAACTATCTATGTACTACTTCTATCTAATTATTATATATAAAGGAGTTTTCTTAGGAACTTGACCGCAAGCGGATTGCTGCTCCCGTATTATTGTTTTAATAATGGTTTTGAAGTGAATTTTGATATGTTATAGTGGTGCGATTCTGTTTATTCAATATCTGCGCGCATGTGAACTTTTAGTGGAATGGAAACCATTAATCAATTGCTTTGATGGTGATGTAAACCTCATAAGTTGTCTGCTTGGTGGCTTGAATTACTATTGTCATCAACTGCTAGTTCTCTCTCGCTCTGACTAAAACTGCTGTCATAATTTATTAGACTTCAGAATGTTGATGCATTAATGTATTATAAAGAAGATTTAATTATTGTTATAAAACAAATAATACTTATTAATAATAAAACTGCCAAAATTACAATAGTATAAGTCCGTTATCAAATAAAAAAAATCTTAAACAAAAAATAATAAATAAACGTACTTATTATAATATATACATAATACTTAAAACTGATTATTAGGACTACTGTTATTTAATTTTTCTGGTTCCACAGCTACATAAGACAAACGCAATATAATATAATATGTGAATATACTTTCCATATATCCCAATTTGCACTAGCTTGTTTTAACAAAAAATCTTGTCTCACTGTACACAGTTCATAGTCATCATTAAGACTGACTATTTTTACTCTATGGGCTATGGTTGACAAATATTTTTTTCTACATAGATTTTATCAAGTGTTGAGAGCCAGTCACATTGTAAATATTATGATTGTAGATAGCATATTTTTCTGTTGCAGACAGTCAGTCAACAAAATGTATATCCTCACCATGCAGTATCACATCATCCACCAGTTTACGGGGCAAATGTATATGCGCCACAGGTAATCATTTAACATTATGTGAAAGAATTTTTTTTTTACTTGGTTCAAAGAAAATTAAAAATATTTATAAATATATTACTTTAAACTTGGCTTAAAATTATCTCATAAATCGAGACCATACAATCTCTTTCAGTATGTCCTCTTATTCTTTTTTCTGGGTGGTACTACTAAGGTTATTTTTGATGATTATTGGCAAATATGTTTATATACTCTTATATTATTTAATATTTATATATCATAATATTTTAAGTTTAAAGTTTATTATCTCAAAAAAGAACAAAATTCACTTATATGAGACTTAAAACTAACATAATTGGTAAAAAATTATAAAACTACATACAGTGACATGAATAAAGTTATATAAAATATATCCAAATTAAAAAAAATAAAAACACTGCCTTTAAATTTTATATTATATTTTAGCACTACTGCTTCGAAGCAGAGAGTTCAATACACCTTTTAAATACCCAATGTTTCAAGCACTTTACAGCATCCATGGTCACGGGGAGACAGTAGACAGAGAAACCTATAAACAAATTGACGCCGTCTTTTGCATTCGCACACGAAAAAGATAGGTTTATGCATAACGTCTTGCATAGAAATGAGACAGAGCGTTGTGATTGTTTGTCCCTTTCTCCGTGCCGGTTTTTTCGTAGCGATCTAAGGAGTTTACAAGTTAGTTTAAGTGAGAAAAAAGTGTTTTGTGAGCTTAAGATTGGTGAATCTTGTTCAGTTCAGTTCTTAGAACAATTAAATTTTTTATCTAAATATGTTTAAAAGTCATAAAGATTATTGTATAACCTAAAACTACGTTTAGTCCTTTATCATTAGTCTATAGGTTTCTCTGTCTACGGGGGAGACTGAGATGTTCAACGTCTAAATGTCATAGTTAACTGCGGTTACCATAGATTAATTTTTGTTCCGCGTATGCAGTACAAACTTATAGTGGGTTGGGTTTTAATTTTATTTATTATAGGATCCCAAGCAGATGGTAGCACCCAGCCATCTTCTCTATTGAAATTAGGATGTTTTTTGATTTCAATAGCCTCGCGAATCATCCTTGAAAAGAATCGGTGTTCTTTAGCAAGGATTCATGGTCTATCAAATCCGATTTAGTGACGGGGGTGATCCTGTACGTGTTCACAGACTGCAGACTTCCCGAAGCGTCGATTCTTCACATCAGCTATATGTTCTTTAACGCGGGTTTTAATTGATTTTTTAGTTTGTCTTATGTAGGAGAGACCACATTCACAATAGTAGAGAGTTATGTTGTTATATTTATGGTATGTTTTTTTTAGGTGAATTCAACAAACGCGTCACTAACGGGAGCGTCGGCAATGACAGCGACGGCATACCCATCAAGTGTGACGCTTACACAGTATCAGCCCATGATTAATTCATACCAGGTATGTAACTGATGCATGGGTTATATACTCGAGTATTACATTGGGTGCTTTCTTTAAATCTTAAAAAACTCCGGCATCTTCAACAACTTCAAGGAACTACTTTTATCGACATGCTTGACAGGCAAATTTACAAATCTCAATACCACAATTTTTCGGATATTTGTTAAAGATTAGTTCAGTTCAAGTCTAGATAAATATAATTATTTTTACTAAAGTCGTTAATTTGAGGAGTCTCTCACAACAAACACGTTTTATCATTAATTCTGATTATTAAGATAAGATGTTTTAGCGCTGTGATAAACAATGAAGAGTCTGTTGTAGTTTATTCGAAATAGTGGATTGGTATATACACTCGGCATCAAAAAAATCGCACATCCGAAAAAAATAATTTAAATACTATTTTAACAACAGGCCAATGGCAATGTTGTGGTTTGAGGGTATCATTCGAAAGGTAATTTCATTAGCTTTCAGGAATTTTAATTGAATTTTACTTTTATAACGAGATGAAAGAGAAATTAAAGAAAAAGACAGGGTATGTACAAATTTGCAAATTAATAATTAAAAAAAAAACTTAATAAATACAAAAAGTTCTTAAAACCTAGTGTTACCCCCCTTTCCTTGATAACGGCTTCCATGCGATCTTTCATGGACCTTACAAGGGTCGCAACAGCCTCTTGGGGTATTTGTTCCCACTCTTCAAGTACCGCATCTTGGAGCTCTTGAAGAGTGGTTGGAGCTGGATCTCGAGCTCGCACGCGCCGTTTTAGGTCATCATAGAGATGTTCTATTGGGTTAAGGTCTGGACTTCGTGCTGTCCAATGCATAACAGGGATATCGACCTCCTGTAAATAATCCCGTACAATAGCCGCGGTGTGGCAACGAGCATTATCATGCATTAACATGAATCCATCACCGACATAACCAGCATACGGGACCATATGTTCCTCCAGGATTTCGGAAATGTACCGACCAGCATTTAGTGACCCTTGCCCACGGCCACCCCGAGTCCGGACGCACACAAGTTCAATTTTCCCGTCGACGGAAATGCCGCCAAAACATACACGAGCCACCCCCGTATTCGACAGATTCTTCGAAGCAGGGTTGTGTGAACCTCTCCCCCTGTCTTCTGTAGACCCTTCTAAGTTTGTCATTGCAGAAGAGACAGACCCTCGTCTCATCAGAGAAGAGTACGGACCGCCACTGTTCTAGAGTCCACTCGCAATGATTGCGAGCAAACTCTAGGCAATCTCTGCGATGCTGTGCAGTAAGGTTTGGACCTTTAGCAGGTCTATGGACTGTTAAACTCTTTTCGTGTAACCTTCTTCTTATCGTAGAAACACTCACGGATGTTCTCAGAGTTGATCGAAGCTGTTGTTGCAACTCAAGAGCATTTGTAAAACGGTTTCGTAAAGATGTCGTAACGATGAAACGGTCATCTCTTTCTGATGTGCACCGTTTTCTTCCAGATCCCGGTTTTCTAACATAACCACCAGTCTGCTGAAAACGTTGGAACACCCGTCGAACTGAAAAACGGGACAGGTTCAACTGTCGAGCAACGTCACACTGCCGCATCCCCGACTGCAATAGGGCAATCACTTGAGCGGCTTCTTCAGAGCTGGTGTCCATCTTTACTTGTTCTTACTTGGGTTACTTGTTCACGTGTGTTCACTGCAAAGTCTAAATTATGATTGACCCATATTTCATCCAGATCGACCCTTTTATACCATTTTTAGGTGGTGTAACTAGCATCCTTACTAACGAGCATTTGACAGTGTTTATTTTTGACGCTCTATAATGATAAATGTTTTAATGATTTCATGATTTTTTTTATTAATAATGTAAAGCTATTCAAATACCCATTTCAAACATACCAATATTTATATAAATGTAATTCGTTTCTAGCCATTACAGCCATTTTTCGCGCAAACTCGGAGAGGTGCGATTTTTATGACGCTGAGTGTAGTATAAATTAACGCGTATTTATTTAAAAGAGATGTTTAAAAATGTGCTATTGTAAGATGGTACCATAGATTTAAAGTCAGTTGGCTGAATATGATCACTTAATCTAAAATCGCTGTACCATTCGCGCTTATTTTGTGTACATTTAACATATACGTGAACAAGATGGTTATAACGCTATTATTGGGAAGCCATGGGATCTAATGGTCTATAGTCGTTTCTTATGTTAGCTATCATAATGGGTCGAAAAGTGGTGGTAGATAGCAAATGGTGTCACATTGTTGCATATCTCTCTGACGCATTAGTAAGTAATGTGTGTTAATTAAATAAGTGATGTAATCCACTATCCATTATAATGTTGTGAGACTATCCCATATAATGTTGTGAGTTTGAAGTGACGACACAGGGGAGTTGAAATAATATATGTGGGCAACAGCATCATATTTATAACTAGTAAAAATAATAGAATAACGAGTGCTTGCCGAACCATCTGCAAAGGTCAATTTATGAAACAGGTTATTCAGCGGTGATTTGTGATAGGTTACAATGTATGTAGTTATGAGTATTGTTCTTTGTGGTACGTACCATCTTACTCTTCAACGGTGATATTCTTTTTTTGTATTTGGTTCCCAGTGGGTTTACATTAGCTACTTACAGTCGGGTATACTGTAACTTTTTTTAATAGAATAAGGGTGACAAATAAGCACAAAGTCCACCTGATGGTAAGCGAATGCTGAGTCATTCTCATTATCTGAATTAAGAATGGAAATGCTGATGCATTGTCACCCCTGAGGACTAAGGTAGAATGCCTATTTTCTTGTAAAAAAGTCTCCGGCTCGCTGCACTAATTATACAAAACACAGCAGCACTAAGTTGCAATTTCACGCTGGTAATTTGTGAAAAGTGGTCGATCTTTATCGAGCCAACGCATTCGTGCTGCAACCATAATATTGTTGAAGCGTGGTCTGGCTCTATATAAAAAAGTTCATTTATCGGTTTAACTTGTTTATAATCCTCGCAGACATCGTCTTCTGCGGGCGTATACGGTGGCAGCGCGCTGTACACGGCGGCGCCGTACGCCGCCTACCAGCCCTCGCCGCAGCCCAAGCCGCAGCATAAGGACCCGCACCAGGTGACACGCTTGCACTCTGCAGCACAACCTTCAAACATTTCTCACAACCCTCAAACACTCCTCATAATCCTCAAACATTTCTCACAACTCTCAAACACTCAACAAAACCCTCAAACATTTCTCACAACTCTCAAACACTCCTCACAACCCTCAAACATTTCTCACAACCCTCAAACACTCCTCGCAATCTTCAAACATTTCTCACAACCCTCAAACACTCCTCATAACCCTCAAACATTTCTCACAACCCTCAAACACTCCTCACAATCCTCAAACATTTCTCACAACTCTCAAACACTCCTCATAACCCTCAAACATTTCTCACAACTCTCAAACACTCGTCATAACTCTCAAAAATTACTCACAACCCCCAAACAGTCCTCACAACCCTCATATACTCCTCACAACCTTCAAACATTCCTCATAACCCTCAAACATTTCTCACAACTCTCAAACACCTCATAACCCTCAAAAATTACTCAAAACCCCCAAACACTCCTCACAACCCTCATATACTCCTCACAACCTTCAAACATTCCTCACAACCCTCAAATATTCCCCTTAAATATTACAACCCTCAAATATTCCTCACAACTCAAACATTTTTCACAACGTAATAAAATTTTGTCAATCTTATTTTTATCTGACTTCAAAAAAAAAAGAAGTTAACAATTTAACTGACTTTTTTTGTGTATGTTACGCGACTACTTCGTCAATTGTGAACCGATGATGATGTGATGTGAAATGATGATTCTTTTTGATCAAACAGTTTATTCTTCAGAAGTTATCCCACATAAATTTAGAGTAAATGAAGTTTATTTTCTCACTTTTTATTATTATAGTTATTATTCAAGGCTTTTTTTTTTCTAAACTATAATGTCTTATAGCATCAACTTCCGAATGTGAAATTATTTTATTGTTTTTGTTTGTTTGATGTCATATTTTGCTTTTCGTTTTTTAACCAGCACATTACAATTGTATTTACAACTTACAAAAAAATCAATATGATGTCAAATTTACCATCTGCTGCTCTGTTCCAGTTTCAATTTATATATATTTGTCATAAACAACAATATACGAATTTATTTTTAAAATATGTGAATATATGTGTACATTTATAATTAGGTGATAGAGCCATGCTGCAGTTATATTAGTAGTATAGTTGTAGCACGAATGGGTTGCCTAGACCGGGGAAACACGAGGCTCTCACAGAATACCACCGGAAAATAGTAGCTTAATGCTGCTGTGTTTCGTATGGGGAGTGTAGAGAACCGGAGACCCTTTTTACTGGAAACGAGGCAGTCCATCTTAGTCCTCGCGGGTAACGACGCATCTGCATTTTGATTCGTAATTGAGGATACATGTAGGTGTCTATGAGCCGCAGCAACCACTTGACTTGACATCAGGTGGACTGTGTGCTCGTTTGTCACCCTGTCCTATAAAAAAATAGCAGCTTGTTGCTGCTGTGTTTCGTATGGTGAGTGTAAAGAACTGGAGACCCTTCTTACTGGTAAGGAGGCATTCAATTCTATGAGCTACAGCGTCCGCGTGCGTGCGTGCGTGTGTATGTAATTTGACTTTGGCATGCCCAAAAAACGTCATCACTCAATATGAGTTGTGACGAAACCACAACGCTAATTTTTAATAATTACTGTAGCGGCGCTGTCGTCGTCGCCACAAGCGAAAACACACCGAAGCCTAAATCGCGCTATCAACATTCCGAATCATAAACAGTATATATAGAATATCTCCGAACTACCACACGGAGTGTTGGCCGCTCCCCGGGCAGAACACCTTGCCCGGCGGGAGATCTCCCTTTCCTTCCACGGTCACAGTGGTGACCCCGACGTGATTTGAACACGCAACCGACAACCTTCGGAAACTTCAAGCTTCATCATCGTCATTGAATACCCCACCCATTCGCTCCCGAGCAGATATCGTCTGCAGTCTTCATATCCTGCAAGCCAGCTAGCTTCACAAGGTTCATCGCAGCACTAGAATAATAATGCTTCCTGTTCCTTCAAGCTACTCTCTGCGCTATACAGTGTTCGGCACGGCTCTGAGCCTTACTGCTCGCCTCTGCTTCACGGCACTCTCGCAGATTACTTGCCTTCTTCTCGACTCACCGCAGACTACAAGGAAATCTCCTGGCACTTGCACATTCGTCGGCAACAAGGCTGCACTAACGACCTCCGGTCTGAGCAGGGGGGTGATGTAGCGGCGCTGTCGTCGTCGCCACAAGCGAAAACACACCGAAGCCTAAATCGCGCTATCAACATTCCGAATCATAAACAGTATATATAGAAAATCTCCGAACTACCACAGGGAGTGTTGGCCGCTCCCCGGGCAGAACACCTTGCCCGGCGGGAGATCTCCCCTTTCCTTCCACGGTCACATTACCAACACCGAGGATTCCATCAACCATAACATCAACTTTCCATCAAACTTGTATTAAAAAATCTAAAAATATTTTTATATAACACGTAAAGACATACGTTTACATTAAAAACGTTTTCGTTTTCAGTATGACAGTTCAGTGGCGTCGAGTAATAGTTTGACAAGTACATCGACGACGCAGACGTCAACGGCCAAAGTAGCAACCACGACAGGTAACGGACCTCTCTAGCATATGATGTCGATGTCCTCATGGCTGAAAACTGAAAACGCAACCGAAAACTTATCAACTAGGTGATGCTTGTTTGCCATCCACTTTAGCAGAAATTTAGAGGAAAGAAGCGATAATATGTTACTTTGTAAATGATGGTTGGACTCGGATAGTTGGTCATTTGTGTGAAAACATTTCTCTGCTTAAGTGAAAGTCTGCACTGATGGTGCTAGCTTAAAGTTGATTAACTTCTTTTCATCTTTACATACAAAATTACTCAATGTCAAAATCTTTACTTGAAACATAGTTTCGATTTTTAGAATTTTCATCTATTGTTCATCATTCATTATAGCCCATTATAAGTACACCGTTGAACATAGGCCTTTCCTATAGATTGTCTTATAGGGGGATATTTGCCAAAGTTGCCACGTTTGGCAGGTGGGTTGGCAAACACTTTTTTAAAATTATTTTGTACTGTTATCATTAATAATGTCCTCCAGACCGAATTTCGGTCACGGCGGCCTGCCTCAACGGAGGTTATCCATCGGCGCAGGACAGGATTATAGTGTCCAAGTGTATGCGCAAGCACAGTTGCACTCTCTATTCCCTCACTCTCATAATCCGATGGGACGGTAAACCGACACGACCGGAGAGAGATCAGGCGCAGGACCAACTGCTTTATGTGCTTTCCGAGGGTAAGACACCTCCAACTTCCTGACTCCGGGCAGCTACTGAGAATTTCTTGACAGAAAAACTCAATAATTATTTTTTTGGCTCGACCCGGAATTCGAACCCAGGACCTCATAATCAGCAGTCGCATTACTACAACCGCTAGACCAAAGAGGCAGTCTGTTATCATTATCCATTACACGAAGATGCTGATGCTCATTTCTCTCTGTAACGTCTTCCGGCAGTCATGGAATAATATGGGGTAAACGGTAGAGGCGGAGCAAGTGCATGGCACAAATTTAAAAAATTAAGGAAATTCATTGTTTTTGTGGAACTTATACTGGCATCTGTAGACACTAAATTGAGAATTTGCTTCCCCATTGTTGTTATTTATATATCTATTGTTGCAATTTGTTGGAAGTTGTCAAGTAATTTTGACAGTCCAGTTTTTGTAATGAAGGAGGAAATAGTTTTTAGTTACTATAACAAAGTTTTTAAATAAATATAAAAAAACTATATGTGTTTGGTTACTTAAAGAAATTGCAAAATATTTTTAAGATTGGACTAATTTTAGTCGTAAATTTCATCACAAATTGTATAACATATTTTTTTTAATATTAGAACACTTAGTAATACAAAAATTGCTATTATTGTATAAATTATATGAAATATAAGAACAATAACAGTATTTGTATCACATTTATGATTATTATTATTAGCTGCGATATTTTGTGAAAAAAGGATGTGTGAAATTTTGATGCCATTAGTACCTTATATACTCAACTGCTCAATTTTGAGATGTCGTTAAATCTCGTGCTATGTCTATCAGTTTAATTCAAAGTGATTGTGACACCACGAGACTTATGACGTATTAAAATAGAGTAGCGTTTGAGTGGTTGGTTATAGAACAAGCCATTAGAAACCGTCGTAGCTCACACAGTAGTAAAATTAGACGTTTTTTTGTAGTATAAGGCATTTTGTTTTCTAATGACTGGACTGAAGTTATAGAACTTACGAAAAACTTAAACGTAGTTTTGTGCATTGTTTACCGGCGTGTATAAGTAACAGCCCTTCTACACGATGGGCCATCGCGGTGGCCCACTATGATGGGCCAACGTGTGGAGGGCGTAGTTTTGTCGGATGGCTTATGGCGCGTGCGATGGTCTTGGGGATGGCGACGGTGTCGGTTTTTCCGCCGCACATCAAATGTAGTGGGGCCAGCGATGGCGGTACCCATTCCCATAGAGAAGTCTTTGCCCATTTCACAGATTTGAACGCTCGACGGTTGAGTGTGGACGTTCATGTTTCATTACGACGTCATTGTTTATTAATTAACGAATTAAAAGTGTCGAATATGTGGCCTCATAATGAATTTTTGAAATTTTAATCATAGAGCTACTAAAATCTGAACATAATATACATAATTTGCTCTTTATTTATTTTGAATAATTATTTATTAAATTATTAATTATAATTATTTAATTATTTGTGTTTAAAGAAAACTAAATTGATTTAGGATATATTTAGTTCTATTGCGATGGATAGATAACGTCCACCATCTTCTTCTACGCCATTTCTTTTAGATAACTCTATTCTTGTGCATGTTAAGAAAATAACAGTACGTGTTGTATAGATATATTGCCGCAGCGGCTAATTCATCAACGTCCATCTCGAAAAACGTTTCGATTACAACTGAATGTCGCCATCGTGTAATTGCGTTTCAACCATCACATGGCCATCTCGCTGGGCCAGCGCTGGCCCATTGTGGAGAGGAGCTATAATAGATAGCGACACTATGCAAGCGAGAGGTGAATAGAGACAACGTCATTTTTAATCCCATTGTTGAACGCGCGTGTAACGTGTGCGTTGGTTACGCAGTGAGCGGCGCGAGCGCGACGTCGAGCGCGGCGGGCATGAGCGGAGCGGGCGCGGGAGCGGCAGCGGGTGCGGCGGCGGGCGCGGGCGGATACGCGGGCGGCGCGCTGTACGGCGCGGCGGCGGCGCCCGGCGCCTACACGTACGACGAGCAGCTCATGCGCGGCGCGCTGCCGCACCACATGGTAACCACCACCGCATACTACTCGAATACTTGCTTGTTTAAACTGAACTGTGAAAGGTTTAATAAAATGCCTATAAACGTAATAAATTAAAAAATATCTATAGCAATCTATGATTAATTCGTTCACATATTACACCTTATTTTTTCCTCATGGAAAAAAGGCTTTGTATTTAATATACTACTCGAATGCTTGCTTGTTTATACTGAACTGTGAAGGAAGAAACAAAGAATCATGCCCATTATTGACCTGAAAATTTTCTAATGTGTCTAGTCATGTAAAATATCTTTTAGTCATCGATTTTGTATCGCATAATTGAATTTTCATATTAAGCCAGGAAAAAAGTAATGTTACTTTGTTTATCATTCTCAGTAGACTTTTGGAGACGGAACGTGTTTTACAATGCCTCAAACGCCCAGAAGCTATGCCAAAATATATTAAAATCGTGTTTTCCATGTTCCATTTCAGACTACGAAAAACTTGTTCATTCGTCATTTGTTTTATTAATGTTCAAATTAAGCAATTTCTTTTTTTATAACTTATTAATTTATGATTAGATACGATTTTAATGGTGGAAAGAAAATTAAGTGTACACTTTATACGACAGCTGTTATAATCTCAAAATTTTATTTACTTAATAGCATTTTTCCATGGCCTCTAAACTAAAAGATGATAAGTTATTTATGTTATTATAAATAATAATTGTTATTATACAACAGTAGTTGTAGGTAGACGCGACCTGTTAAAGAAATCAAGTGACAGGTCAATCAATGTATGGAAAGTGGGCATGATTCTTTACAATCCATTTGATGCTAAGTTGCAGTCAATGACACCTACAGTCAACAACTAATAAACAATGGCTTGACTCGACCAAGGTAGAGGACCACGCTCTCACTATACCAGCGTAGAGAGTGTAGAGAACCGGAGATCCCTTTTCACTGCTAATGAGGCAATTCCATCTTAGTCCTAAGGAATCCCAACGCATCTGCGTTTTAATTCTTAATCAAAGATAAATTAAGATGTTCACAGCTACAGCATCCACTTATCATCAGATGGACGAGGTGCTCGTTTGTCACGCGTATTCTATTAAAAAAAAACTTTAAACTAATAAGGCTACAGACACATTGTCACCCTTGAAAACTAAAGTGAAATGACTTATTATTCAAGCAAAATGATTTCAAAAGGAAGGATACGCCCATTTAAATATTTTACTCATAACTTCTTCATACAAGAAAAAGAAGCGCATGTGTAATGCGCATTATATAAACGTCATATAACACGACGTAACCAGGGTCGGATTTCGTAGTACAATTATCGTATTTGTACCATTATTTCATAGTGTGTATGTAGTATCGAAATAAATAATACTAAGCCGACTTGTATTATTATTGGATCATTTTACTTTTTAATATTAACCCTACGTTATCGGGAATTTCTGTATTGAACATGAGTACAGAGTTTTATTTTAAATAAAATTAGCATTAACTTCCTTTCTGGTCAATCAGTGCTCGATAGATGCATTTATGTTGTATCCTTGATACAACTAATGTGGGGCTACCACGATAAAAACTATGCTCCAGAAGCAATCGGTTTCAAAACAGAATTTCGAAATATTTTATGAATCAGATTTTCAGTTTCAATTAAGTAGATATATAGTTTCTTTTGTACTCTTTTCGTTTTACCCTTATTGAATATAAAATACATTGGGTACAAATATTCAAAATTTAGCTTACACTAAGTACTTTAGATAAAAATAAAACAGAAATAAAAATAAAACCGTCAAAAAAGTCTAGTTTATATGTTTCGGTGTAGATAAACTAGACGCGTGCCGCCTAAATCCCGGCGCATGGGAAAAAAGAAACATGAAACATCAAAGGTGATATAATTTTTGATAAATAGTATAATTTTATTTTCCTTGTACATTATTTTTAAGGGTTTGAATCCAACCCTGGCCTAATCTTGGTAACGTAACTAAACTAACTGTAAAATAAAACTTATATATGGTTATTTACCGATGATACTATATCCCATGTTTTTTTTTAAATCTTTGTATCGTAATTTTTGCATTCTTTTACCACGGAACTAGACATAAATTATGACAGGCAAATCTGTCCGTCGCGCGCACTACTGTCGACCGATTCGCGTTGGCCTTAAACTGTAAGTTTAGCCAGCGCACTGGTCTGTCTTAGTTGTTCCGTCGGCCCGGTCCTTTCGCTAGTAATATATAAGTCAATGGCTATGATATACCTAAATGGGTAAGGGAGCAATCTTAATTCTTTAAAGAATTAATGTAATGAATTTTAAATGAAGATTTTGTCTAATTACAACTGTATTCGGGTTTACAAAATATAAAAGCTAATAATAACAGGATGTGACGTGTACAGCAACATAAATAAAAAATCGAGGGTAGTAACAAAACAAAAATGTACAATAAACTGGAATGTTATAAAACTTAGTAAAATATAAGAATTATTTTAATTTTTTAAAAGTAAACTGTAAATTTGAATAAAATTAAGTGTCCAATTTATGTGTAAATTATGTGCGCCCAAATTTAAGCGTGGCGAGCATCAATGCATTTATATAATGCCCATAACCTTGAACCGGCCACTATAGATATAAAGATAAAAAGCTTAATTCAAATAAGTTCATAAATGAATAGATCAATTTGATAAAATGCCAATAAAAAAAAATTTAAAAATATCTATAGCAATCTATGACTAATTCATTCACATATTACACCTTATTTTTTCTTCATGGAAAAAAGGCTCTCTGTATTTAATATAGTGGTTATTGAAGAATACACCGACCAAAAAAAGTGAAAATGGTAAAAATGAGTACATCTATTTCCTCAGGGTGGATACTACGAGGCGGGCTACGTTGCACGGGAAGGCACATTTGGACTTGGTGCCGGTGAACGATTCGGCCGAACGGACGCCGCGTCACCACAACAGGTAGGTTTTTTTTACCATGTTTATGACGACATTTTTTATATAGGATAGGGTGACAAACGAGCACACAGTTCACGTGATGGTAAGTGAATAAAGTGGCCCATAGATATCTACATTTATCCTCGATTAAGAATCAAAACGCAGATGCGTTGTCACCCCTGAGAATTAAGATGGAATGCCTCATTTTCAGTAAAAAATCGTCGCCGGATCTACACTCACCTGTCAGCTTTTCTCTAATAAACCACGACAACTCACTTAGTTAACTGTTTAACCACTATGTTCGTTGTTTAATTTCACTCTTAAATTGTATATAATACTTTATAACACATAATACTTTACTTTCACAAAGAAGACTATATATTAATTTAACTTTACTCACAACCTTTAGAATCACCTTATTTCACAATAGACTTGACTATTATAACCTTCTCAGCACCACTGTTCGTAATCAACTGCCGCGAGCGTCAAGTGTACGTGCTTTTATATTGTGACTCAATTCTAGAATTAATGTAGGTAGTTTGAAATAGATTCATATTAATATTAATTGTGAAGATTGCTAAGTAATATAGAATAATGATCATTTATCTAACACACCATACGAAACACAGCAGTATTAAGCTGCTATTTTACGCTGGTATTCTGTGAGAGTGTGATCCTTCCCCGGTCGAGCCGACCCATCCGTGCTACAACCATAATATAGCTGCAGCGTGGCTCTACCACATATAAAAGTTTAATGTTAATTACTCTTTTCAGGTTCCAGCTGCGTTACCCCCCGGATATGCATACTTCTATCAGCCCCCACCTACAACGTACCAGTATGGAGTCTACCCCACGGTGAGATATTTGTGATTTAGCATGGTGCCATTTTAACCCATCATAAATCAAACTGAATATAGGTCTTCTCAAAGAACAAAGAATGCAGGAAAGCACAATACTTAGCCACTTGCATATTGACATTTGAATGAGAGTTGTGGAATATAAAAATAAATATGTAGGATTCTTTGTGAGTGCGAACAATTAAACATTAGATTCATTTATCCGCTGTTAGTATATAGTCCTATTATAAAAGAAATTTTATTGTTCTTTTAGGGTATGTTCCAAAACGTTTTCAGTATACTGCCGAATACAAATGACGTCATCAATTGACACTATATTGTACTGGCGTACCGCCGCCATATTGTGTCGGATATCTGGCCATAATAAAGCAATTTTAATTTGTGTGTGCGCTGAATGAAGCATGCCAGAATTTGTTTTTATTTATTCACATACAAAAAATTATAGAATAATTGCTGGTATCTCCATTAGGAGGATATAATGATTTTTGGAGACAAAATGACAAAATAATCGCCAATACTTTTCCAATATTGCGCACATGTATGATTTGGAACGAATGTGAAAACGTCCTATGTTTTGGAACGAATCACCAGTATAGCGTCGATTCATGACGTCATTTGCATTGGACAGTACACTGGGTTCTATTTTGGAACATACCCTTGGTAAGGTCTGTATAAAATCTGTATAAATTTACTATATACATGTGGCACAATGTTATATGTAGGTTTAAGGGCCTGCACACACTAAAAAAGGAATTATGTAACTGGGTATTAAAAAGTATGTATGTACATATTTCAATTCCAGACAAAGAATGTTTTCTAGTGAATTGATTTCGAATGCCGAAGATGAGATGCGAATAGTTCCTTGAGAATCTTAATCACGTATGAACAGTTGTTATAAATACACATGCATCATAATCATTACAGCACACAAGTCCACTACTGAACTTATACCTCCCACAAGGAATGCCACAAAGCACAGTCCTGAGCCACCAATATCCATCTACTTCCTGCATGTCTTACCAGGTCGTCACTCCAGCTAGTGGGGGTCGTCCTACACTACGCCTACCGGTACGAGGCTGCCACTCGAGAACCTTTTTTCCCCATCGGTTGTCGGTTCTTCGAGCTATATGATCGGTCTATTGACAATTCAGCTTACTTATCCTTAGGGCCATGGCGGACACTGTGGTTCTACTGCGGATATCCTCATTTTTAATTTTATCGCGCAAAGAAACCCCGAGCATAGCCCTCTCCATAGTTCGTTGGATGATCTTAGGCATCCTCATACAGCCAACAGTGAAGGACTAAGTCTCAGATCCGTAAGTCATCAATGGCAACACGCGTTATACACGCAAAATAGACATTTATGTACATTAAATATTTTTATGAAATATTTCAAGTGAAATGAAAGCAAATAAATAATTCACTTGCTATTAATTTGTCATAAGTTAGTACCTGAAACATAGTATAAGAAGAATTAAAGTCTACATTTCTGAAACTATTGTGTGGGAATAAATTATTATTTTTAGTTTTTGAAGTTGTTTTTTACTTCTTATTAAGGGGAAATATAATGTCAAATGGCTTAGCAAGATCCTTCGTTATGCCGAAAATATTGCAGCATTAATTTTGAAATAAATATATGGTAAAGTTGAGGATTAATGTTAATGATTATGTTAGACGAAAACACGATTTCGTAAAATTTTCTCGATAGAAAAAAAAATCCAAAGTTACATCCAAAATAAACAATAAACCGCTGTTATTCATAAAATACTTTCAATAAGATCATGAAACTTTGCATACTAACTGAACTAACTATAAAGCAGTGCTTATGTTATTTACTTTTTTTAAAATACCATTATTTTCACTGTAAAAAGAAATTACCTAAACTATCGGCGTCTTGAATCTTGATTCCTGTCGCCCCGTTAGTATCGCTTAGGCTTTTGAAGGGAGAAGTTGTGTCGCTTACGATCAGAATACACATTACGCAACAGTACGACGTAAAATTAAAATGGGAAATAACCGTGATAAAAATAAGAAGCGGCTGGCTTGGCGTTAAGAAACAGGCATAAATATGATAAACCTAATGAAATAAGTGTCTAACGACCTTTCTACTTACAGTATTAGTGATTACAAACATATCGGTACATAGCATACGACGCGCGGGGAAGTGGGGGCGAAATTAGAATTTGAGCTGACTTACTCTATCCTCTTAATAGTTAAGTTTTTTCCTTTAGAGTGGATTAAGCAATTATCACAAGCTGAAGTTGAAAACTGAACATTTTAATATTTGCAACAAAAAATTCTTACCCTATTTTTTATTCTTTTTTATTCGTTGTAAAAACTCATTATATTTTTTAATGTTTGTGGGTAGAACTTATTGTTTAAATTTAAATGGAGCTGCACTTGGGATATAGTTCATTTAATTAAAAAAAATGAATCACCAGAGTTGTACATACAGAAAAATTCTTGTCGAAAATATTATCTATATTATATAGTTAAATAATAATCGATACAAATAAATGAAATTTAAGTATCTGTTTGTTAAGTCAAAACAACAGCTTTTTGTTAAATATATATGAAAGTATATACGGAGCTTATAACAAAAAAAAAAAAAAAAAAAAAAAAAAAAAACAATTTTTAAAAAAATTCTCTGTCCGTCTGTCATTTGTTCCAGCCAATCTCCGAAATAGCTGGATCGATTTTGACGTGAATTTGACTGGCAGATAACCGATAATTTGATAATAAGGAGTAATTTAGGTTACTTTAATTTTTGAACAATAATCAGGGCATCATTTGCGCGGGAAACACAAATTTAAAATCCTCATGGATTTCAATACAATCAAAATAAATTATAGCATAAAATTAGTGTAAAAGTAGTCATCCAGTTTGAAGAAATAATTAAATGCTCATATAGAAAGGATAACATCGTAATCGAATGGAAAGACAGACGCTGGCAACTTATTCCACTCCTTTGCTGTACGCATGACGAACGACGTAGTAAACTGTTTGGTTCGATTGCGTGGTAATACGACAACGAAAGATTGGAGACTGATCGAGCATCTGGTTATCCGTATGTGGAAGGGAGAGGGTGGAATTAAGTTACGCAAGAGTGTAATATTGTTTTATTTTTTTATTTATTTACACTTTATTGTACTAAAGATACAAACGGCGAACTTAATGCTATATGGCATTTTCTACCAGCCAACCGGAAAGTTAGTGGGAGATGTGTGTACTGCAGTGGGCTAAGCTGAAACCTAAAATTGATAAATTTCACATACACATACCCCCTCCCCCCACACACACACACACCACACACATACATACTCGTTGCTCAAACTTAATTAAATATATATAATAAGATCTAATAGATTAAATGTTATAGATTATTTATATATTTATGTGTCAGATGAATCCAAATAATGTTCCTTTACTTTTGTTTTAAAAATCCACTTGTTAGGGGATTTTCTTATTGCTAGGGGAAGCGCATTCCAGAGTCTTACAGCTGTAACTGTCGCTTAAGCGAAAGAGTTTGAGAGGAAACCAGTACGGTGAAAGGGAGTATGGAGCACGATATTGTTACGAGAGAGAAGATTGCAATATTGTGTTGGTTGCAGTACGGCGGCAGCTCGAGCGTGGGCGGCGTGGGCGTGTCGGGCGCGGCGAAGGTGTCCGCGTACTCGCAGCAGCAGCAGCCGCCCTACGACGCGCAGGACTCATACAAGCCCGGTGAGCATATTTTTAACCGACATCAAAAACGGATAGAAAAATAATCATCACAATCGGTTCACGTAAAAAAAAATTCTGAGATATAATACACTATAATATTTCTGAGGTATTACACACAGAATTGAACTGAGTCCTAGGTACTCAATTCAACTTTGTGTGTCTTACCTAGTTTGAAGAGCACCATGAAGGTGCTCTTCAAACTAGGTAAGACACATCATTTTATTTTATTGAGTGAATGTGTGCGAATTAATTCTTAACAACTTTAACATAATGGATTTCCGCAAAGTAACTAATTCTATTAATGTGTAAAATATTGTAGAATACAGCCCAGAGGCATTAGTTTGTGCATATACATATACTTAATTTTATTTAAAACGCTGCTTTTCAACGACGATGACACTGTGAACCGTCTGAGTAATGGCTCGGCTACACTGCTCCTCGCGTTGCCGCAATTTTGCTCTCTCTGTCCATACCATGAAGGTTAGAGAACAGGAGAACGATCGCCGGAGAAAATTGTGTCCCAGAAATATGGACACCATAAGTGAGGCGCTGCGATCGCTAAGTTCGCTCAATAAAAGTAATTTTCAGTCTATTTTTCCGATCAGATGCTAAACCACTTGCACATCCACGCACAATAAAATATTTCTCCATTTTTTAATGTTTCTTTTTGTCAAAAATTACAAAATTACGGAGCATGAAAATTTTCTCATTAAAAATGGAATGAAAATTTGTACATTATTCAGCTAACTTCACCTACTTGTACACATAAACAGCTAACTTCGCAGCCTCTACTCACCGACGTCAGCGTCGCTATAAATTCTACAATTTTCAAGGACAGGCGGGCTATGCTTTTTAGTATGTAGTGATCATTCTCCTGTTCTCTAACCTTCATGATTATACCTCAGAAAAGGACTCAATTCAACTATGTGTGTATTATACCTCAGAAGTATTACACTGTAATTGTACCTCAGACATTTTTTCTACGTGAACCGATTTTGATGATTATTTTTCTATTTGAACACATTCACATGTGTTCCCATATAATTTTATTGAATATCTGACCAGTAGTTTTTGAGTTACTTTAATTAATGTATATTTAATTAACTTTGACTACATTGATGATGTTCGCATTTTATATTATTGAAGACGGTTGTATAAAATTTTTTATTTTACCACTTGTTTAAATTCATTAAAACCCTACGCAGTGTAGAGGCGATGTAAAAATATCCACTATCCTATATCGTGTCGTGAGAGGCAACTGAGAAAAACAAATAAATTAGGAGATGAGCTACAGCGTCTTCCTAATAACGACTAAAATCGAAAAACTGCGGTTAACCCTCTTGCCAAGCGTGGAAACTATGACAAATATTATCCCCCCCCCCTCAATTGTAGCAATCCATAAAGGAGGCCTATGCTCAGCCGTGGACTTAGATAGTCTGTAAAGAGTAACCGTAACAGCCCTTCACAAGTCCCCAAGGAATACTAAAAAGCACTGTTACCATAATACTTCTTAAAGAATCATGTCCAGTTTTGACCTGAAAATTTTCTAACGCGTCTAGTGATGTAAAATATCTTATAAAATTGCATGTTTTTTCTTATTTCGTATAGCATAATTGGATTTTCAAATAAAGCCAGGAAAAAAGTAATGTTACTTTGTTTATCTCTCTCAATTGACTGAGACGGAACGTGTTTTACAATGGCTCAAAGGCCCAGAAGCCATGCCATAAATATATTAAAAACGTGTTTTACACGTTGCATTTCAGACTACGAAAAACTTGCTCATTCGTCATGCAGTTTATGAATGTTTAAAATAACCAATTCCTTTTTTTTAATTAATTATAGTCAACCAAATCTAAGAAATACTTGTTGACGTTTTACATTAATCATTCCGCAATAACTTTGCACAAGCGTACTCACACGATTGAAAATAACCTTTTACGTAAATCCGAAGAATTATGAAGTTACAGTAGAGCGTCGATTATACGAATTGATTGGGGGACATAGGTGTTCGGAAAACCGGTTTGTTCGGATAATCGAACTGTATTATTGTATGTACTAATATATTAACAAAAACATATTTCTAATATGTAATATAAATTTCATCTATTACAGTTGTAATATAAGCTAGAGCATTGATACGATTATTTACTTTACACAACATACTTTACACTATACTTTACACACACAGGTGCCGCTAATTCACGAGACGAGGTAAGTTTTTCGTGGCAAAGCAATTGAGTCCAGTTTCGTCAGGATGGTAAACGTTTTCTAAAACATAATTTTCTTGTTTTAATACGTCGCTTAATTTAATTTTGAAAGAATCAGCTGGTGAAGAACCAGCAGATGGCTTTTTTCATTGTATTTGAAGCTCACGAATGCTTCATCAAAGTTTTTCATTTAATGTTTTGCCTTTTCACATAGAACGGCATCATAGATAGGTTCTCCTTGTGATTTTTTTTGTGTAAATCACTTGTAAACAGCGTCATCGAGATTGGTGTTCGTGGCGAGCTTCATAGTTTTCCGACTTGACGACCCATCGGTAAAATCATGTTTGGATATAAAATTTGGTATGGTCGTCTTTTGGTTTTTATATCCGTAATTGTCGACTTAACCACTTTGTACTTCTTACATAAGTTTATAATAAGTTTAGTTGCAGATTCGGCTTTCTCTAATCGTTTGTTAAACTCCTATTTATCTTTTATGGAAAGAACAACACGTTTACGTTTAGGCATTTTAAATTGTGAACCAATAGTGCAAAATTAACACATAAGCGTATAGCGCTATCGGTACTGAACGTAGGCCAACACGCGACACTCCGTGGAGAAGCGAGAAGGTGGCCAAGGTAACAGTTCGGTTAAGCGGTCGTTCGGTTAATCGACGTTCGGATAATCGACGTTCCACTGTATCTATATTTCATTATAACGTGTATAGTTTTTTATCACTAATTTAAATTCGAATCTTTCAAACCAAGCAAAATATTTAAAAAATAACTGGTGTCGACGACAAAGTGAATTCGAACATTTAATCTTAATTATTCCTTATCAGTGATTTAAAACTAAGTGATAGTATTTAATCTTAATTGTTTCCTATTCGTAAAATAAAGCTAAGTGTAAAGACTGATAGTGCTGAAAACAGGAAAGTAAATTAAACACTTCTATTCTTATCTTAAAGTAACTTATATGAATCTATTTAATATTATTTAGGTCTGATTAGAACATTAGACGCAAGTATAAGCTTATTTTCTAGTAAGATTTTTTTTATCATAACTTTAAGAGCTATTAACATATAGGTGATTAATATAATTCTTTTTCCTTTAAAGTGATTCAAAAGAAACATATGTCAATTAATCACTATATAATGTCATTTCATTATGAGAAAGATTTAAATTTTATGAAAAAATATTGTATAGATTCTTAAGCATTAATCCTGAAAAAGTGTTGTACATTCCTACCTCTTGGCGGCGCTACTTGTATGTTCGGCAAAAAATACTATCCTACTCCGGAGCTAAACCGTGAAGCGACCGCGAAGCTATTTTTATTTTTTATAAGTGTAAAATAAAGGTTTATTGAATAATTTAGGTTTAGAATATAGAAATAAGTTGTATCTATCGTTAGGAATAAATATAAATGTTGTAAGGTATGTTTTACCACGTTTATTAAGAAAATTGTAAATCTCTCTTAGAAAGGGTTATTCTGTGCTCTGATTGGTCAATAGATTCACTAATGCCGTGTGCGATTTTTTCTTAATTATGATTGGTTACAGCCGCTTATAAAAAAGGGGCGTTTTTTCGTGGTAAAATATTCCAAATCCGGCAATGTAATAATAAGGAATCAAGAAATAAAATAAGAAGAAACTCTCAAGAAGTGTTATTTATTGCTCATCTAACTGCTACTGTATGCTCTCCAGTTAACATCCCGCCAGCAAACCCGCTCTATTTTATCGACGCTCCCTTATACGAGCAATTATGGTCCTTCGAGAAGCCGGATCGGGTTTAAGGAAAACTAGGAAGATGCCTTCAAATACAAGATCAAAATCAGTGCAGTCGAAGACTACGAGTGAAAGTAACGCCACTACGGGTACCAGTACGACGGCTTGGAGCATGAATACGCCGAGTGATTCTACAAACACGACGGCTACTAACACGTCGACTTCAGATCGATCAACGCTTACAAGAGCATCGCCCAGCAGCGTACACAGACAACTCGTACTTCTTAACAAGAACATTGCCGGAAAAGAATCAACACCGGGGGACGTAACCCATACCACCCCCCCGACACGCACCGTCGAAGCGTCAGTTCCTCACCAAGAAGAAAGTCATCCAACGCCGCAGATTCAAGAAAGAAGTGTCGCAATGAATACTGCAGCAGCCTCACCCTAAGAAGACGACCCGCGATCCAGACACGCTTTCCGTTCGCTCGTCGCATAGGAAGAGAGCAGAAGCGCAAGCAAAGATGACAATGGCATTAAGGGAACTAGAATTGGCAGAAGCGCGGTCAAAAGTTGCTCAAGCGGAATTAGAACTTCTCACCGCGGAATCAGAAGAGGAAGATGGTGCCGGAGAAGAGCTGTTCGAACGAACTCGAGAAGTCGAACGCTGGTTCATCCAGACCGGAGACATGCCTAATAAGAACCACAAACCAATAGAGGCAGAAGAAAAGAAAAGTGACATCCAGGAACTAGCTTCAGTCATACTAAAGCTATCAGAAAAATCACGTGACACCGTTTCACCGAAGCACCTCGAACTCCCTCACTTCAACGGGGCCTGCGAAGAATGGTTAGCCTTCAAAAGATCATACGAGGATACGGCCACTTCTTTCAGTAGTAATCAAAACCTAGCACGCCTTAGAATAGCAATCCAAGGAAGAGCTAGAGAAGCCGTCCAAAGCCTGCTGTTCACCGCCGAAAACCCACGCGAAGTAATCAAGGGACTGGAAGCAAGATTCGGAAGACCTGGAGCACTAGCATTAGCAGAACTAGAAAAAATGAAGAACCTCCCAAGA